TGAGGAAACTCCTTACACCGAGGGACTCTGACATTCCTCCACTAATGAGGAGTGTATATTTCCCCCTTGGTTTTGGTTCAATCATGTGATTTTCTTTTCCTAACAAAGTGCTTGCAGGCATCTTATGACTGTCCTGGTAAGACATGATAGTCAGGTTGATACAACCTAGTGTCACCTGGGATGAGAGAACCTTGAATGAAGCATTGCCTTGGTCAGACTGTCCTGTAGGCATGTCTGTGGATCATTTTCTTGAATGCTAACTGATATACAAGGACCAAGCCCACCATGGTGGTAGATCCCTAAGCAGGTGGGTTTAGGCTGTATGAGAAACTTAGCTGAATATGAGCCAGAGGGAGAACAAGCCAACAAGCAGCTTTCCTTTTCGGTTTCTGCTTCAGTTCCTGTCCCAACTTCCATCAATAATGGATTGCAACTTGGAAGTAGAAACCAAATAAACCCTTTCCTTCACCAGGTTGATTTTGGTCATAATGTCTTAACACAACAACATGAAGCAAACATTGACTTAAGCTTTGATAAGCGATTGTGCGATTCATCTTGCTGTCTGTGGCCGCATAACAATAAGGATATCCCTACACTTTGTGGGGCACAGAGAAGGTTGGAAAGCATGAGAAACAGAGCTTGGCCACCCATCCAAGCTTGGTCTAGCTTAGTTCCTCTCTAGATGAACAATATCCTCAGAGTAAATAAAAGCTTATTGCTGTATACTGGTGAGTGTTGGGACTTGGCATTAGTCCAGCAATGGGTAACTGACAGTTGTCCCGGTAGATGAGATCACCAAGAAAGTGGGTGTCTCCAGAGGTGGAGGAAAGACCAAGGATGGTACTGCCTTGGGGAAATGAGGAATAACCAACAGGAGAGACTGAGATGTAATGATCAATGAATAGAAAAGGAAAGCCAGGTGTATGCCGTATCCTAGGAGCCTCTTTAAGTAGAATTCATCAGTTATGTCAAATATTGTAGCTGTGGCAAGCTTCAACCGCTGACCATTGGATTTAGCAATGGAAGGCCTTGGTGATCTTGAAAAATACTGTTTTGTTGTTGTAGAGAAAAATGAAAAAAATTATAGGAGAAAACTGGAGAGAGTGGTAATTTTTGGGTACCTGTGGTGGTCTGAATGATGTCTCACTGGCTTGTATATTTGATCACCTGGTCCCCAGTTGATGGCTCTGTTTGGGAGGTTGTGGAACCTTTAGGAGGTGGAGCCTTAATGGAGGCAGTGTGTCCTTAAGGTTTTAAGGGTTTATAGCCTGGCTCCACATCCTGTCCCTTTTCCCTCTGGTTCCTGTGCATAGATACAATATGATTGGCCAGATTCCTGTTGCTGTCATCATGCCATGAATTCTCCAACACAAAGGACTCTAAACCTTTGGAACCATAAGGCAAAATAAACTCTTTCTTCCTTTAGTTGCTTTTGCTCATAGCATTTTTATCACAGCAACTGGAAAGCAAACCAAAATCTTCCCTTGCAAGTCTTTTTATTTTTAAGTAAAGAACAAAATAAGATTATGTCTGCATTCTCAGGTTAGTCCTTTAAAAGACTGGAGAGCAAAGGGTGGAGAATGTTGCCTGTAAATAAGAGAATCGGGATCTTGACAGGAAACCAAGTATTTAAATGTAAATGCCAGAAGAGGAGGCAGGTGTAGTTGAGGGAAGCATATGAATGAAGCATGGAAATTCCTTATGATCATGCCAGGTAGGAGGAGTTCTTGATCTCTGAGGAGAAGAGTAGATATGAAATAGTCAAGCAGGAGAATGAAGTGTGGATTTGGAAAATACTGTATGACTGGTGAGTAACTTCCAGTTAAGGTTTGTCACCACAAGTTTAAAATGATATAGTCTACATTATACATTTTTATTTAGACATATTCATCTGTTAGGGGCAAGAGCTCATATCAGGAGAGTTTAATTTCATGCATTCATCCAAGCATGTTTGGAAAAGGAAATGCTGAAGAAGATAGAGGCAGGGATGCATTATGCTGGTGGACTTGAATTTAAGGAAGTGTGAGATACTGGAAGACAGTAAGATCAATAAGTCCTTGCCAGGAGAAACAGAAGAACCATAATCAAAGAAAAGTAGGTATAACTGAAATCTCAGGAAGGCTGTAGCTGTTGGTAAAAATAAGTCTGTGACATGATTACAAAAATGAGCAGCTGAACTAAGGCAGAGGATGAAAAATCAGGGAGGAGGCCAGTTCAAGGAATGGAGAGTCCTGGGCATCAGAAGGCATCAGCACTTATTATTCCAACAGTAGGAGTTAAGACAGGAGCATGCGTGTTGATGGGTCAAAGGGTCAGGGAATGGTAACGAGCAATGAGACCGTGCCTGATAGTCTGATGACAGCAGAATCAGAGCTGTGGGTCTTAGAGATAAGGAAATAATGGTCTGAGAGGGGCCATGGTGAGCGCCAATAGCCCCGAACCCCAGCCCAGTGGCACACGTTAGTTACATGGGCTCTCTGGAAAACTGAATCCTCAGGAAGAGCCGGGCTTCCATTAAGTTAGGAAGGTGAATGAAATGAGAGCTAGACGGAGAAAGACAGACAAAGGGTTTTGCTATGAGGGACCCATGAATTTCTGAGGGTGTGGGGGAAGGTAGCATGGGAATTTTTTTCAGAACTGGGGTGACCAAGGACTTATGGAAATCTAGCGAGGCAGATGAAGGGCAGCCCAGGCCATGGGTCTTCTCACACTGACTGAGGCCAATAGGGAGGTGAGCCCTATCCTCTGGGCAATTAGCAAGCCAGGCTGTCAGTGGAAGAGGGGGTGTCTGGGCCTCTTTCGCTCCCGCTGGTGTAAGCAGGAAAGCCTGACTCAGACACTGACTGTGTGGGCCCCTCCTCCTTCCAATGCTCCCAGTAGGGAAAGATGTGTATATTTGTGGGGATGGAGTGCTAAAGAGCTAATGGACAGGGTAACATGCATTATAAAAAAGTTAAACAATCAGTCTGGAGAGATGGCTCAGAGGTTAAGAATACTGGCTGCTCTTCCAGAGGTCCTGAGTTCAATTCCCAGCAACCACATGGTGGCTCACAACCATCTGTAACAAGATCTGGTGCCCTCTTCTGGTGTGCAGGCAGAACACTGTATACTTAATAATAAATAAATAAAATTTTAAAAAATTAAGCAATCGTCTTCACATACTTTTCTCTTGTTCTGGGATCAAATGTATGACTACAAAAATAAAATTTTTCCACTGGTATCTTGGGGAACAATTAAATATAAGGAAAAATGAAGAAGATAAAACGTATGCATATACTAGCATGTCCCATGGGTTACATACAGCCTATTTATCATAAATGTTTATCATGCACAACTCAGTTTCTGACACTCCCACCATACACCTACACAATTTCTGGGACAATTCTGTCCTTTACTCAAATGTAGTAATTTTCCCGGCCCCAAACACGTTAAAGATGTCCAAGTTTCCCTCAAAACCTTAGCTGGTTAGACTTTCCTGATATGACAAGGCCCCGCCCATGCCTTGCTAGCACATGACCCTTCCCAAGCATGCTAATGCTCACTCTGCAATGTTCCAATGCCTTTGAAGCAAACAGCTGTATCCGATGACCAAGAAGAGCTAGAAGCCCCTACAAATGTCAGTGCAAATAAAGAGGTCTGGGTATTTCTCTAAGTAGCTTCTCCAGGGTGGAACAGTGGGAGAAGCTGGACTAGGATGAGGACGACCATCCAGCATGGCCTTTGCCAGGTTGTGTCACTTGGGGAAGGCGCATGACCTCAGCCTCAGAATCCGCAGGCTGGACTCGAGGCCACCTCCGAAGTCTCTGCCAGTTGTCAATGGCCTCTGGTTTCTAAGAAGACTGATATAACTGTAGCTTTTCTCACATATTTTAATCACCATCATCATTCAGACGGGAAGGAGGAAGCTCCCCCATCGGTGTTAACGTGACAGGATACTAATTTGGGATGAGTGAGGTGACCAACAGAAGGCTACTTTTTATACAACATCTCCTTAGAAATGCTGCCCCAAAAAGAACACAGGGAAAGACAGTTCAGGATGGAAACACATGGGTGGTGTCTGTGGACCAAAGTCTAGACTGTAACTGGAAACTTGGGTTTCCAGATGTTTGGTCAGTATGCTCACAGTGTGCTGTAGCCCCTAAGTGATTATCCAATCAGCTCATTAACTCTGCATTTGGACTAGGTAGTTCACTAACACAAGCACAGTGCTGTGACTGGTTTGGGTTGCCAACTTTACATTACATACCTAGGAAGAGGAATTACCAATTACACACCACTTGAGGAATTACCTCCATCAGATTGGCCTGTGGGCATGTCTACAAGGGCATGTTCTTAACTACTAATTGATGGAGGAAGACTCAGTGGGCTCTGGGCAGTGCCAACCTGAGGAAGGTAGGCTGGGCTATATCAGAGAGGTAGCTGAGCCTGGAAACAAGCCAGTAACTCGTCAAACCCCTCCCAGTCTCTGCTTCAGCTTCCTTCCACCTCTAGATTCCTACCTTGAATTATTGCCCCGACTTCCCTCAATGATGGGTTGTAACCTGGAAGTGTCAGGTGAAGTAAGCCCTTCCCACCCGCCCCCAGTTGTTTTTGATTGGTGTTTTATCACAGAAATAAAAAGCAAATTGTAACAAGAGAGGTGAAAAAAATGAAAGCAAAAAAAAAATAATGCAAAATTAATGATCTCTGTTGCTTTAGGAAGGTCAAAGTTGTTTTTGAAATATCAAGGTATCAATTAGCCACTGCCTCTCATTACCCAGAACAGTCAAGGTTGATGGTAAAAATTAGAAACAACAAACACGAAACATCAATGGAGCCAGTGCGGCCGCATCAGAATCCAACCCACTGTGGTAACCAGGACGGATTCCGAGCGGTTATGAAGCAGTTATAATGTCAGCCCTGACATTATAAAGATTGCCAATTTGGTGCATATTTTGTGTCAAAACCCTACCAAGTAAGATGAACAAAGCTGAAGGTCTGAAGAAGAGAGACAGGCTTACCTGGGTCCTTCTGGTCACCCAGTTTGTCTAGAATGTTGAAGGAGATGTCGAGGTACTCTCTCTGGATAGCACTGACAGCAATCTTCCTTTGTTTCCTCTGCCTGGGGACGATCTGAATCTTAAACTCTGATTCCTCGGCCCCGTCCTCCTCCACCTTCCTTTCGGGGTTCTGTTCTGTATCGGACTCAGCACTGGCATCGGGCTTCTCTCCTTCTGTTGGATTCTCGGCATCTTCTGGAAGTTTGAGGAGCACCGTTTTGGCCCCCGATGTTGGTGTCTGTCCCGCCTTTTCCTCAGCTGGGCTGAGGTCAGGGCTATAGTCCACTGACATCTCAGGGACAGCTGACGACTTCTGGAGATGGTCTCGTTTTTGTTTAAGTGTCAGTGGGCTGCCTGAGGCAAACTCTCTGGGCTCCTCTGACTTGGACAGCTCTTCAGAGTCAGTGAGGTCATCTAGAGCTGTGATGGTGGAGTCGTCATTGCTCGCTGACTGATGATTTCCTGAGTCCTTAGAAGAAAAGTCTTTGGAACAGTCCTCCACACTCACCTGCACAAGAGGAGTCGTGCTCAGGCTGAGGACAGAGGGCTGGCTGGGGATGGAGGAGGAGGAGGCAGCATTTTTACCCAAAGGACCATCATTCCCTTGGTTCATCATCTCATCTTCTTCATCGCTTTCTACTATTCTGAGAGGCGGGAGAGGTTCGAATACAAGAGAGTCACTGTCAGATGCTGAGAGTATGGAGTGTTTCTCTGGTCCAGACGTTGAGTCTGAGGACAAATCTATGAGATCTAAATCCTCTTTAGGAGCAGGCTTTCCTGGGGAGTCAACTCTCACTTCGAATGTCTCCATGCAGTTCAGCCTAACTTCTGGTATCACGGGTCTTCGAGTTTCTTGAAAACCTTCAGTCGCTGGATTCTTGGGGATTTCAGCATTGTCCGGCCTCGTGGCAGAATTCTGTCTAGAGCGTCCATGGTGGTCATTTTGCCGTTGTGAGATATGAGCAGCTTGGGCGGGAGGCTTATCTATGTCACACCGATCTATGCAGGACTTCCTACGATGCTCATCTAATGTAAACAAGAGGGAGTCTGCATTCCCTATATCAAGAGATTTTTGTTTTAAAGAGCGTAGCTTTTTTTTCTGAATGTTCTCTTCTCTCACACAGTGTAGAACGCTGTCTTGTAACGCACCCGTTTCTCTATATTCGGCCAGTTCTATTTCACCTGATCAAAACAGAAACAGCTAGTACTATTGCCCTCTGAGAGTTTACCATTTTCCCTCATACTTGGGCACACAATTGGCACAAATAGTAATTATAATCCCAGCTCTACCAGAAGGGAAAACTGACTTTCTGGCCATGTTTTTATAAGATTTATTCTGATTTAAAGAACTGGGAAACTTGGGTACGAAAGAAACCCAAGTAGTTGTTTAAGATTGGATTTCCAAAAGTCAAGCTTGGAGGTAGCTCCTCAGCTCTGATAGTCATTAGACATAAGAGAGGGATTTTGGTTGGTTGGCTGGTTGGTTTTGTTTATTTTGTTTTATTTTTGGCTGAGGCAGGTCTAGGAACATGTATTCAAATTGTGTGGAAGAGAAGCAAACATTTTGCAACAAATCAAATCAAGCAATGGCCCTTGAAGACAATCATGACATTAATGACATATCTGTCAACTCGCGTATATATATATAAATGTGTGTATATATATACTGTTTGTGCATACATATATATAAAATCAACAATATCAAAATAAGTGGTAACATAATAAAATTAAGATTTCACCCCAAACAAACGGTAGAGTACAACATTTCTGCATAAAATTACTAAGAGGAAAAATTCATACTTCTCTGAACATTCATTTCAACCGGCTGGTATTTCACCATTTTGCTGCCGCCTATCCTTTTCAATCTTGCAAAAAAAGTTTGAGACTCTTTATTGCAGGGTCCAGTAGGTGTATCATGAATATCAGATTCATCAAAAACACTATCTTCTTCTAATTGGGGAGAGAAAGTCAAAATTACACTTAGGAGGTTACTCTCTCTTAGGCTGTGTCTACACAAGCATTCAGTGAAAGCATTCTAGAATGGTCAAGGTGGTTTCTGCACCAGCAAAGTTTAGCTGTGGGTCTATACTCCATCCAGCCCATCCAGATCTGGACTGAGCAACCTGCCACAAAGCTGTCCATCATCTTCTGAATGAGAGTGGGCAGCACTGTGAGAAGTATCTCAGTGGTCCACAATAGCCTTAGTTGGGGAACGTGCCCATTACACTTAAAACCAAATGACACACAGATGCCAGCATTCTGTCCAGGAGTCTGGGCATTGTTTGAACTTGCCTGTTATTTTCAGGCTAATTTGACAAGGATGACATTAACATGAGTGGGGCTTGATCTTTCTAAAATACATATGCCTTCTTGGGATCTGGGAACTGGCATAGACACAGCCTAAGAGTCCATGCACCTTATAGTTTGCGAATGCAAAATACTGTACTCTACATTTGGTAATGAAACACACAACACACAGAGAAAGCTTAGAGAAGCCACTTGTCGTCTCAGAAGCTCCACGGATGAGTATGGACTGAAAGAGTAAATAAAGGAAAAATAGAACGGAAAGTCACATCTCCCCTATTGTGGTAAGACTCTTCCCTGAGGCATTTACTGTGCATCTGTGATGGATTTTATGAACCCTAGAAAGAAAAAACAACAACTTTTGGCTCTCATGATCCTGGGCTCCACAGACAAGTTGGTTGTTTAATGTGAACTAAGCTTGCTTATAGGTCCTGTCTTCTATCCCTACGTGGCTGTTCTGAACTCAAAACAATCCAAGTAACATAAGTGAAGAAACAACCTTCCTGCTACAAAACCTCAATTTTACTTCCCAACGTTTCCTCTCAAAAGGATAAGGTACACAATGTCATTGAGAGAAAGGCTGGTGACGTGCGTGTCACGGCACAGAAATTGAGACTGCCTGATCCCTGAGGTGAGCATCGCTGGAACTGTAATGTTTGGGCTTTATGGATATCTACATGGGACAGGACGGGACCCACGCATGACGATGGTGAGTCTAGATTTCTTGAGTCTAGGAAAATGCCAGTCCTAACATTTAGAGACCAATCTTGTCCTAATGCACAAGAGTCACTAACAGTGAATTGAACCTGAAGCAGTAAACATTAGTTGATGTCACCACAGCAATCTTTTTAATCAAATAAAAAAAGCATTAACAATCAAAGTGGATACAAAGCTCCATGTGAACGTACACAAAGATGAAACATTCCATCAAATCCCCAGGCTTCTGAGGAAATGCATAAAATGACCTACTTTGTTTCTTTTTTAGAAAAAAATCCCTTTGGAAACTAGTTTTCTAAGCAAATGGCAATTGTGACTTGCATTTCACAGTTTTGGAATAACTCCCCAAATGGACTGTGTTACATGATAGAGACGAGAGGACAATGAGTTATCCCTTCTAACCAGGAAATCATCTGGGGCTGGGCCTGTCTGGACACCTAGCACACTGAAAACGACATAGCTTACATGCGTCTACGGAATTTTCCAGAAACCCAAGCTGACAAACACCGCTCTTCAAGAAGGACATGAAAGGTACCAGAAGCTCTGCTGTGGTCCTCACAGCAACAAACAATGGATCACTGGCCTCCAGCCAAGTGCCTTCCTGCACTGCTCCCACAGTTCAGACTGCTCTAATGCTACAGGGTCAACAGGCTTTCTCCCAAGAGTCGATTCAGTGATGTCACCGTTTATAATTCTAGCCACACTGTGAGATTCATCAAAGATACAAACCTTAGTTCTTCATCTTTCACCTGTAATTTCACTCAATTTAGCATTTCATTCTACTGTTGCCTTTGAGGAAATGCTATCAATGAAAAAGACATCAACACTGAAAATAATTTAAATTTATACACAAAAGGGTTTTCATTTCCATTGCCTTCAATCACTTCATCCTGAATAATGAGGCTCGGAAAAGGCACTTCAGAAAATTGAGACTGAATTCAAAATCTGTGAGCATGAAGTTCAAGGGCAAACTAGAGACACCCAAATGATGATTCCATTGACTGCCAACCCAGAGAGGTCATAGCCCAAAGGCAAGTTGTTTCCAGCATGTTAATAGGAGGCTATCATAGCTCGTTAATCAGATGGCAGAAAATAGCATACCTAATATTATCATTATTCTGAAGTTCAGAAGTATGCCAGCTGTCTCTCCTACACACTCAGTTCAAGAGTGAAAGCAACAACATTCCTGAGATATTTGAAAAATTAACCAAATAGGAAGGGATGGTTTGGGCTTGGTAAGGATATGTGTGTGGGGGGGGAGTTCCTCTACTTCCTTAGACAATGGAAAGACTGCTGTCTGGAAGTGTATCCTGTATCCCAGCTAAGTTCAGGACAGAACTCTGCCTTGAGAAGTACCTTTTTCTTTCTCGCTGTATCTGCTTATGTTGCTGTTGTCACTGTACAAAGGTCCTGCCGTGGCATGGGGCTTGCAGCTATGGTACTGCGCATTGAGTGTATTGACTGTTATGTGAATCAGGTGCAGCAGGATCTTGCTGACATCACAGTCTCGGTATGGATACTGTCCAATGGGGAGAAAATACAAGTGGTTATTCCAAACAATGTTTTCCCAATGATCTTACGGGATAGTTTTCTTATATTTCTCATGCACTAGAAAAATGCACACAAAAGTAACAACAACATAGGTTCTGACATAAACTTGTTTTATAGGGTCCCTATCTCTCCTTGGGCCAAACCACTGACAACAACGTGGGCTAGATCCTTAAAGAACACTGGCAATTGCTATTTGACAAATACAATTTTAAATACCATCTTTGTTTTCTGAAAAATAAGCAGATAAAAATGAGATCCTGAGCATAGAAATTAATGATCATTTTTGAAAGCCTACATTGGCATTCCAGCCTGTTTCTTTTTCATTCTAATAACTCTTTGCCTCTCAGCACGGCCTGCGTTTCTTGTGAAGGTCAGACTCTTATCGAGTGGACTCCTCATCCATTAGGGACCCTCCTAGCACTGTACTCTCTAAGACCAACCTCCCATCCCAGCAGAGGCGGCACAGCCACTCACCTTGTAAAGGATGACGAGCAAGGCCTTCAACCACATCTGCCTGATGTGAGGCTTTAAGGACCAGAGGGAGCAGCGAGGTGGCTGTTGGAAATAATGCCGTAGTTGAGGACAAGAGCAGTATTTGAGCACCTGGACCACGAGGGGGAGAAGGTGTTTGCCCAAGTTAATGTTATAGTCCATAACCTGAAATAGAAGAATATTAGTAACTGAAAGAAAACTATCAATATGCAGAAGGAAAAGGAAAAGCTTGAGCCACCACAGCACACACAGAGGTACCCCACAAAATATCAATATGAATTGACAGTATACATGGAGGGGAAATGCTCAACCTCACAACAAATTTAAATACGAACAAATGGATAGATTTTAATCTAATTGTCTATTTCATTGTGTGTTAAAAATAAAATTGTATCTAATTAAAATATCTTTCAGAACAATTAACTAGGAGTAGGCTAGTCTGGGTGAAAATAAAACCTTGCATTAATCATACAGAGAAATGAGATTGCTTGGAACCATAAAGAAAAATGAGATTGTTTGAACACATCTGACAGGACAAGAAAGGTGCATAGTCTTCCAGAACAAAGACTTAGCAAAATGCATTCACAACTAAGAAAAAGTATATACCCTTTATCACGGCAACTAAATATGGAGAAAGCAATCAGACAACTGTTCCAAAATGTATGGATAAAGACATTCAGTATGGTGTTGCCCCCACCTGAAAATTATTCCCACATTCAACCATCAATTAAATATTATTTGTGCCAGGTATGGTGGTTCATGCCTGCAATCCCAGCACTCAGAAGGCTGAGACTAAAGGAGTGTGAAGCCAGCCTGGTCTACATAGTAATACTGGGCTATGGTGTGGGATCCTGTATCAACAAACAAAAAAAAAGTAAAATAAATAAACCACTACTTGTACAAAAGCATACTTTGTAGCCACTATATGGGAGATGACATATTTTTATATCTATGCTACAAACTTCATAATTATTAATTTGGTTTATAAGCTATATAATATGTATAACATATACATATAATATTGTATATACTTTACTCATTAATTTTTATTTTTTGAGACAGGTCTCATGTAGCCCAGGCTAGCCAGCAGCTCATTATCTCCCTAACTTTGCCTCCTAAATTCAGGGATTACAGACATTATGCCATCTTACCTATCTTACATATAACATTTTATTTTTTGGTTTTTCAAAATAGGACTTCTCTGTGTAGCTCTAGCTATCCTGGAACTTATTCCGTTGACCAGGTTGCCAGGTTGGCCTCAAACTCAGAGATCCACCTATCTCTGCTTCTTGAGTGCTGGGATTAAAGGTGTGTGCCACCACGCCTGGCTATATATTTCTATAAAAAATGTGTCAGTCCAGTGAGATGGCTCAGTCAGTAAAGGTGCTTGCTGCCAAGCCTGGTGACCTGAGTCCAATCCTTGGAACCACATGGTGGCACAAGAGAAGCAATCCAGGAAGTCGTCCTCTGGCCTTCACATGTAGACCATGACACACAAGAATAAAAAGACGAATGCAAAGTCAAAGTAAGCTTTAAAAAATATGTGTAGTTACAAATGTGCATGTGTGCCTGTGTATGTTCACACACATGTGGGCATGTACATGTGTGACACAAATTCAGGAGGAGTATTTTATAGACTTTTTAATTTCAAAACTTATGATCTCTGAGATAAATGCACAACATGTATTCAGAGAAGGAAAGAGGGGGAAGTGGTGTTGTCGAAAATCACACATATTCAGCTATCTGCCTCAGAAGAGTAACTGCCTCAGAAGAGTAGCTGCCTCAGAAGAGTAACTGCCTTGGCAGGAGTTTCCTCAGAAGAGTAGCTGCCTCAGAAGAGTATATGCCTCAGCAGGAGTTGCCTCAGAAGAGTAGCTGCCTCAGAAGAGTAGCTGCCTCAGAAGAGTAGCTGCCTCAGCAGGAGTTGCCTCAGAAGAGTAGCTGCTTCAGAAGAGTAGTTGCCTGCATGTCACTCTCACTTTCTTGTTCATATTCTATAACCAGGGTTATAGATGCACACTCCTGTCTCCACTCCCCAGTGCCAGGGTTATAGAAGCATACTACTATGTTTTGCTTTTTACTTGGGCCCTAAGACTGAGCTCAGTTTCTCATGCTTGTACCACTGGCATCTCATTGGCTGAGCTATTGTATTACCACTGCACACTTAAAGTTCTTCATATTGTGTTACATATATTTTACAAACATTTCCTTCATAATACAAAGCTACTAATTCCTACTCTATTTTTATATTCCCCTTTACAGACTCCTGTCTAATAACAAGTAATTTGAATAAATTTTTACACTCCACATCATCTAAACGGAATGCATTTCCTTGTTTCTATCAAAGCCCACGACAGGACTCCAGAAAGTGCTATTACACTTACTTGGGCAATTCCTGCAATAAATGCATTAAAGCATGTTGACAGGCGCATTTTTTGGGGTGCTATCATGAAGCAGCCTTCCTGTTGGTCATAGCCAAGTAAGACATAGAGGTGCCTCTTGACCGTGTTGAAGGCCTTTGCGCTGCTGATGTCTGACTCGGCACTGCTCTCATCCTTGGCCATGAACTTCATGAGCACTGTAATCAGCTGGTGAACCGTCTGGTGGTCAATGCCAGCATCTTCCGGAAGCAAGTCCTTGATAGTGTTGTCGTTCTCAGGAGACTGTTGTCCTGTCAGTGTAAGGACAGTCAGTGTGCTGCTGTGCCCCCCAAAGTGACTTTACATTAAGTTATCACCCAACGTTGACAAACTACCCTGCTTTCTGCTTCTACTAAGCACTTAAAAGTCTGCTCTAGATGAGAAATTAAAGGCACTATATAGCTCCTAAGCAAAGCGTCCTTCCTGGGGTGGTGGCTACTACCTCCATCCTTAACCAAGTTACTAGGGAGTGATACAGGAATGGAAATGAAACTGAAGAACTATACAGCAAGACTAACCTCAAAGTGTTGCTCAAACACCTAACAAACTTTGCACTTAGCAAATCTTAATACAGTGGCAAAGTTGTGTCCTCAGTGACAGAGACAGAGGAGGCTCTGCCCAGTTTGTACACAACCTTAGTAACCCCAGAAGTAAGAAGCTAAGTTTCACTAAGCACAAAAGGATCCACTGGGGGATTTTATTTAAATTATGGTCTCAATTCAAAAATGTTCGTGAGTCAGCTGGGGCAAAATAGTATTTTTTCCAAATGTTGAGAGATTCAGCAGTGTGTAGCCTCTGAATTATAAATGGCCAATGATAAGCCCTGCAGTATGTAATGAGAGACACAGAGGGGAAGGAGAGACAGAGAGAAACTCTCAAAAACATTTTTAAAAATAAACAAAACAAAAAGAAAAAACTAGAAACACGAGGTGAGCTGAGAGTTCACGTGGAAGAAAAAGCACCCTAGTCCTTGGCTTCCTCTCAAGCTATTGGCTATACCTGAGCCTTCCAGCCTGCCCAGCCCCTCTCCTAGTCTTCTAGCCTGCCCCGCCACCTCCACTCTTTGTGGTCAGGACCTTAAGGGAAGGAAGAATCTTATATACTCTCCTGTATTAATTTGTGCTTTGGGGGGTTTTCAAAGCACTCTGCAGCCTGTCCTTTTGACAAACAACTGTAGAATTGATAAATTAAAATGTGTTTGCATAGTAGGTTATTAGAGCTGGGCGCCAGCATCCTCATCTCACATGCAATGAGAAATCCAGCAAAGTGAGGACAAGCATTGGGCACAAACTTTCACAAACTAGCCGTGGTTGCATCTATTACAATTATGCAAATTATGTACATTATTATGTAACATGATGCAATAGAGATCCAAGGAGTGATTTGTGCCCACTAGTGCCTCAGTTAATTTGGCAAAATTCCTATCTTTCAGGGCCCTGAGAAGAGAATCGATATAGAAGCACTGTTTCCTTAAACTGCAGAGTTGATCTGTCTAGCAGTCACTTCTCTCTGGAACAGCGGCATGAAGTAATGACCAATTACACTTCAACATGGCCTGCATAGGCGGTAGCAACCTTGGCTAGCTACTTTCCCTGTGTCTTCGGGAGGATGTTGGTCTACCCACAGAGATCAGGAGGAGGTAATTAACAACTCAAGAGGAGGCAGAACCACTCGGTCTATGGGCTCTAAGGTAAGAGTTAGAGGACCTTCTGACACTTGTCATCATGGCCCCAAGACATTAACATTTTCTGTCTTCTGAGTCTGTCCACAAAGGCATGCATACATGCAATATGCACACATGCAACATGCCTTAGGAATTTTCCTCATTAAAATCATCTTTACAACACCTAAAAATTTGTTTCACACATGAGTAGTCCACAGCATCTTATATTGAGGCATTTATCACAAATCGGTTTATGTGGAACACCTTACTTCAGTGAAAGACCAGACAGTTCCAACATTATAGTCATTATAGTTAACCTGAATATTTAGAAGATTTGATCAAAAGCAACTCTTATGTAAATCTCTGAAAAACAAAACACACACAGAGAGAGAGAGAGAGAACTCTTTTTTTTTTTTTTTTTTTTGGCGTGTTTGAGACAGGATTTATCTGTGTAGCCCTCCCTATCCTGGAACTCACTTGCTCTGTAGAGCAGACTGGCCTCGAACTCAAGTGCTGAGATTAAAGGCCTATGCCACCACCACTCAGTGAGAGAGAACTCTTTTTAGTATTAAAAAATAGAAGAGAAAAAAACAAAACACCTGTCTACTTCTGGGGGATAGAGATTTGGCTCCTCAGTTAAGGTCACTTGCTGCTCTTGCAGAAGATAGGGGTTCTGTTCCTAGCATCCTCGCCATGCAGCTCCCAGTCCCCTGTGACTCCAGGGACTCTAGCTCCCCCTTTTGGCCTCTGAGGCACCTGCATGCATGTGGTGCACATATAGATAAGTAGGCGCTCACACACATAAGTAGAAAATGTATTTTTAAACTACTATATATTTTTTAAACTTCTATGTTTAAAAACTACTTTTGATTTCCCCCTTCTAGCTATTGTTTTACAATCAGAATACTACTACTGCTTCAGGCAAACTGGTTAAAAAAGTGTGACAAGTATGTGCATCTAGGTTCCATGTGGGCCCAACATCACTATAGCAGTAGGCAATACTGTGGCAGCAGGGCCTCAGCGTTCAATTCCTTTCAGCTCTGGGGTGCAGGCCTTGGGAGAGCACGTACCTCTCAGGCCTGCCGGGCTCCTTCGCGTCTAGCAAAGCTTGACTCCTAAATGGAAGTAGGGATGTTATAACCACTTTGATTTTAGTCCTAGGGACATCAGAACAGAGAGTCCTGGCTCAATCCCATTCTGTCTCAAGTCACAGGTGAGAGAACAACTCATGAAACTCCACTGTAACTATTCTGAAACTCTCCTTCATATTGCAAGGGCTGTGATTCTTTTTAAGTTCTCAGAAAATCTTACATTTTCTTGATGACTAAATGTCATTTCTTATGTGTCCTCATTCCAGGGATCAATGCTTGGGGACAATTTTTGCAGCTTTTAGTCTACCTTCCCTCAACATAATTAGTCATTGAATAAACCTATCCCCATGCATAAAGTAAAACGCTATTTCTTGTTCCATCAATCTGCCCCTCCAACCCTGTATATTACAGGTCTGCATTTAGTTCATCATCTTCTATTAGAATAGAGTGGGCTTCTGAGAGATATGCACTTCTTAAGGAAAAGTGGCCCAAGTCAAGCCCCTATGAAAAATGAGCTGTACAAACTAGGTGGACTATTTATTACTACTTGAATTATCTACTAAAGATGTACAATTTCCATTTTAAAACTAAATACCTACCATTAAAGGCATGTCAAGTAGGGCACCTACTAATTTTAGATTCTAGTCTATGTGGTTCCTTTACCTTCCCTAACCGTGGTGATTTGTGTTGAAAGGTTTGATTTTATTTCTGTAAATGAAAGTATAGATATCATTATAATCCTGGAGGCAGAGCTAGCCTATCCATGATTTAGTGTGGGCTGGGTTCTCCATGACTCATTCACAGAGTGGAGTAACTGCCTGAAACTCTGAAGCAGAATACAATGTCACCAGGCAGAATCTGCTTTTTTGATGCCTCCTGACCCTCCCATCCCCACATATCCAGATGCTCAGCACTCCCCCAAGCTGGGCTACTTGCAGACCTCAGAAGGACCAATGCTAGTCTAATGCTCACAGTGATCTCCACCTTGCCAGGGTAGATTCCACCCATTCCCATGCTTTGTGCTATGAATCGACTCCCCAGAAGCCATTTTTATTCCCCATGCCCCCACTCCCCTCAGTAATTCTGTTGAGTTCCAAAGATAAGAATAGAGGGGAGGTGGGAGGGAGACAAAAAGAGGAAATTTTCCTTCAGTATTTCCCAAATCTCTTTTATACAAGGCAGAACTTTACCTATTCATTGTTTATTTTCCCTGTAAAAAACATCACTTGGAGGCATGGGGGGGCAACCTCATAGCTCCCATGTTCCTCCTTCCTGCCTTTGCCTCTTCCTAGCCTGTGTCTTTATCACCATGTGTTTTCCCTCTGTACCCATTAAGGGTTTTTGTTTTGTTTTGTTATGCTTTGTTGTTTGTTTGACAACTTGACACAAGCTACAGACATTTTGGAAGAGCGACTCTCATCTGAGAAAATGCCTCCATCAGATTCCCTGTGGACAAGCCTGTGGAGCATTTTCTTTATTAATGATGGATGTGGGAAGATCCAGCCCATTGTGGGTGGTGCCACCCCCGGGCAGGTGGTCCTAGGTGACGTCAAAAAGCAAACCGAGAAAGCCATAGGGAACAAGCCAGGAAGCAGCACTCCTCCATGGTCTCTGCTTCAGTTCCTGCCTCCAGGGTCCTGCCTTGAGTTCTTGCTCTGACTTCCCTCCATGATGAACTATAAACTGAAGTAAACTCCTGGGCTGTCTCCAGTCATGGTGTTCTACCGCAGCAACAGAAAACAGATTAGGACAGCATCTGTCTACCGATGAAAACCTGAATGCAAGGCCCCCTGAGGCTTCAGCTGGTGAAATGCTGTCCTGCTGCATCTGATGGGAACCCCCCTAAGGACTACAACTCCCACTCCAGATGAGCACCGGCTGACGGCCACGTTTATTTCCCTTATGTGCCTATAAGCCAATGAGATGGTAAACATCTCTCATGTATTTTGTCCTCTGTGTTTCCTGGAGTAGCAGATGCAGAAATGTTTGCTCGGCAAAAAGCTACTTCTCAAAACTATTATTATAAACACAAGAATTCCTATAGAAACAACGGGTACCTTTGCAAGTGAGTGAAGCTGCTTGAAATTCCAAGCTAGGCCACTGAAGAGGAAGCAGAAAAGGCCCACACAAGACAGTTTCACCAGTTCTAACTAGCACAAAGCAACTTTTCTTTTATGTGTAAATGTAACAAGATCACCAAATTTCTCCACAGGCTGGAAGAATGTGTGTCCTGTGAGGACCGGGATAACTCTGAACCACCCTGGACAAGAACTTTTTTCTGGACCTGGTATTCAGGCCTGCTGAATACCAGGTCACGCAGATCAGTGTGCTGCAAGGCAGAAGTCCATAAACCCAACCATCAGGAGGCTCCTACTGTGGCGGGAAACAAGCAGCCAAGTCTCCTTCCTGTATGCAATATCAGTCATGTTCCAAACTCAAGTGACCTTAAGCCAGTCACTAAGCAGAATTATGTAATACTACAGTGGTCAGTCTGTACATAGAGTAAAAAAACAAACAAATAAAAAAACAAACTTAAATGTATCCAAACGTTCTGTAAAGCCAAAGTTAGGCATTTGTGTAAATACACATTAGGCAAAGAGACATAAAACATATATGAAATGTATTTATATCCTCTTACTATTCAATTATTCAGGGCATGAGAAACATGGTAGGATTAGGCATTTCACATTTGTGTGGTTGGCACTGTCCATTCAGCATTGAGCTGCTAGACCTTCTGAATCATGCACCTAAATAACCTTCAGTGGGCACTGCAGACATCCAAAACTAAAATGTTCACAATATTACTGAAAATACACCTGTAAATAATTGCACAAATGTCAGACCAGTGGTTACAAAGTCTGAAATCTGAATGAACACGGTGATGAGTTCCTGCTACCACTGGCCATGTATGCCATATAAATAGGGAGCTCAGGAACTCTGGGTATGAGACCCATGTCCATCACCAACAAATTTTTGTGACATTTGTCCATTTGTGAGAAACTCAGTTTCTTCTCCTATACAATGGGAATCTCAGTGCAACTCCAATGTCATCCATTACATTCCATGAGTGTTATTTATATGCACAAAGGCTTTACAGAAGAATGCAGTTTTTTACAGACCAAGCAGGGCATACCTTCCATCTATAGAAAACCTTCTACTTTATTGGCTGTGAAGCCTACATAAAGGTGAAGACTAGAAAACCGTATGTTGTAAACCCAGAAACCCAAAGTTTAGCATAAACACCGATTAGAAAGCTTTTTACTGCGTCATCAAATCACAATTAAATTACTTCAGGTCTAATCAATAGCAAGTCTGCACAGAGGGGCTTGCTGCCCAGACTAAACATCATCTGTTTGTCAAACAGCAAGCTCTTCCATTTTATTCTACCCTGCATTTTATTCTGACGGAGCATGTTCCACATGCCTCAAAAGCTGGGCCAACTGCTTCCAAACTAGGCTAGTTTTCCTTGCCCTGCTGTCACTTGGATCCTCTCCCCAGAAGTCTCAGCTTCATGCTTTCTTTAAGCAATGTTGCTACCTGCCTCTTTCCACCTGGCCCTTTGGGTAGAATGATGTGTTGCTTGAGGCTTTTCTTAGCATCAGCAAACACACGGACATTCTCCTTGGATGTGAGGGGCTCCTTTGGTTGGATTGTTAGAATACATAATAATAACCAACTGGTCTTTCAAGGAAACACGGACAAGAAGAGCAGCCTCAAGATAAAATGAGGGAAATAAATAAAACTGCCTAAGAATTTTCTCCAAAACTCCTCACTGAAGGGGAACTAGATGGTCCTCACCTTATGTATTTATTTTATTTTATGTGTATGAGTTCTTTGCTTACGGGTATACAAGTGCAGTATGCATGGCCTATGTCTGGTGCCCTACAAGGCCATAGTGAGGGTCGGATCCTCTAGAATTGGAGTCACAGACAATTGTGAACCATTGTGTGGGTGCTGGGAATTGAACCTGGGTTCTCCGCAAGAGTGGGAAGTGCTCTTAATCACTGAACCATCTCTCCACCCAGATCTCACTTTCTAATGACAATGAGTGCCATTAGATCAGAAGTTCTCATAAATTCTCCTCTCTCTCTCTCTCTCTCTCCCCCCCCCCAAAGGAGACAGGTATAAATCAAAGAGGTTCCCAGCCACACGTTTGCCATTCTGTGGCTTTTGATCCTTTTCAAAAGAGAAAGGAGACTTTTTGCCCCCATCTTCCTCCTGGATTCACAATCTCCAGTGCCTCTGCATCTCTCCCACTCCTCAATGTCTGCATTTTATAGCATGCAATGCTCATGATCTTCCAAGTCTCCTTACTTTAGTTTTTTTCTCAACGTGTCAGTCAATACTGTACTGAAAAGTTCTAACTTGAAATTACGCTCAGATAAAAATCCAGATGTTTATAGGATGACATGTTAGGTGAGTCAGTGAGGTTGCAGTGACAGGCATGCACATATTCAGAAACTCACAGTCCTCTCAGTGAATGGTGGCACTGTGTGGACAGCATTCAGTTAGCAATGTCCTTACCAGTATCTGCTCAACACTTGGGATACTTCATGCTAAGTTATAACACAATAAGGAACGTGGTGTGATAAGTTACACTGTGTCACCCTAAATAAGACCTTCAAATCCTCCAAACAATGGAAATGCTCCTGGGAAACAGAAATGCACAAAACTGGGAATAATTAAGAGCAGCTATAAGGATGAGCAGATGGTGGTTCAAGCATAAGACCTTTCCAAATGCAAATGGAGTGTGTTTTACCTTAAAAAAAAAACCTCTTATCTATGAACATGGTGTCTTATCTATGAACATGGTGTTTCTATGTGTAGCTTACACATACAAACATAAATCATATGGTAGCATGGAGCACAAGCCTAACCACGCCTGCTTTCTGAGGAGAGGTGGGCAATCAGATGCTTCTTACTGGACCAAAAGTCAATGGGATCAGAAACCATCAGCTTAGAAAACCAGGTAAAGAATTGACACACCAGCGGTTCAGACACTTGAGCATCCAGAGTGAGGCCCTTTGGGGCTCACAGATCCTGAGATCACTCTGGTCCAGTGAGAAACACTGAGCTCTTTACCTTGTCCACCTATGATAGAGACACTTGCCCACAGCCCTTCAACGTCAGAAGTACCCACCTGGTGTCTGTTCAGGTGTCCCACCGAGAGCTGGAGCAGACTGCTCATGCCTGGTCAACCTCACAGCTTAAAAATCAACAACAACTCTATTTAAATAAAGCATTAAAGACAACTTGAGCCTAGAAAAGTACGCAGTGCTGGCTGCTCTGGATAGCAGAGGCAAGCTTAGTTTTCTTATTTGTAATTAGCATCCCATAAAAAGATGTTTACTCCAAAGTGTCTGTGTTTTGCTTCTTATCTCAAGAAAACCCCTTAATATCTTTTGGGTTCTAAAATCAGCTAAATGACTGTGTGGATTAGTTAAAAAGGAATAACAACAAATAAAATGAACACCCCAGACTAGTCAGTCAGGTTACTAAAGGGCTGGAAAAGTTGCAGTTAATTTAATCTAGGGCGAGCGTCCTTCACTCTTTCTCGTGGCAGCAGCTTCTCCTGGGGCCACTATGAATTATTCTTCAGTGTGAGTCTCTATGCTCCCTGAGAAGCTAAGGCTATCAACTACTTAAAAGGCTCTCTACTGACTCTTCTAAAGTTCAAAACGCCACATATTCAGAGCTTGGCATAAAAAAGAAAAATGTAGCAAAGAAAATCAAATCACATTTATGGTTAACATGATTATGTTATATATAAAGTTATTCTCTAATAAATGCCAATGAAAATGCAAATCTCTCTGCTTTAGACAGGAGAAGTGTGCTTAAGGTGTTCACGGTGGACTTCATGGGTGTTATTTAAGGCTAAATCATCTAAATATACTCATCCATCCACACAATGACTTAATTCTGCAGGCCTTATTATTCGCCACTTATGTGTTGATATTAAATGAACACTTGTGTTTATCTACTAATTCGGTTATTTAAAACGCACTCTCATTAAAATGTAATATAAAGATCTTTATAAAATAAATGTGTGTGCTCTTTTTAAATTGACACCAAAGCTTATTTCCATTTATAAGTTATCTGAAGCTGACTAGGAATCCAACTTCTCTTCAGCCTGATTTTTCTTTTTCAGAAGTCACCATTTTTATTGGCTTTTCTGGAGGCTTATGTGGTTGTTTTTAGCACTCGTGAAATGACAGTCATTCAAAGTCTGAATGCCACCGCATTAGCTGCACAGTTTTTATTCTCTAAGTGTCACTCAGAAAGCACCAGGTTCCCGGGCTGCCCTGCCGCCAGCCCTTGCATTCTGACATTAAAAGGAAGCATCTCCTCTAACCCTTGTGCCAAGCATCAGCAGGTTCTCTTCCTTCACATCTCAGAACCATTGCTTACACTGCACCCACAAACTAGAGAAAACCACCAGTGACTTTCACATCCATGGGCTGATTTTTCCAGGGACTCTGAGGGCCAAACTTGAGGACCAGGCTCAGTTTGCTAACTGTAACTTTCTGTGAACACTCGACAAGACACATTAGCTCCAGAAAGACATTAAGCAGATGTCACAAGAGGAAGAAGGAAGATACTCAACGGATTTTGGAGGTCAGGGTCTCAGGGAGGGAGAGTGCCCTTTTGGATTCTGCGGGCCCCTTCACACTGTCCCTCAGAGACCGCACACTCTTCTGGCGGTTTCTTGCAAAGCGTGCCCTCTTGATCTTCCACAACGCAGCATCGCTGAGGTTGGCAACATTGGTTCTCACAGCGGTGATGGCTTTGCAAAAGAAATTAAAGGCATTATTTTTTCCATGGCTGCCATGTGGTTGGACTATCTTGAAACAATCCATCTGAGTATAGTTTTAGGATAAAAAGACATCTTTCATGTGTGCTTGAGTCATCCGCCACCCTCTAGGACCATGATGAGTTTTACCGTAAAAAATCATGACTACTCTCTATCATGACTACCATCTTTCTGTTTAATTCATGAGGTTTGATTATCTAGCTTTGTTATATTTTCCTCATGAATTTAGAGCCATAAGCGACTGAATAATAGGTGGATGGGAGTTGGCACAGTACAAATGTATCTCACAAAACTGGTCACAGATATTATCAACATCACAACTGGGGGTACTTAAGGAAAACAGTCACAGGTGGTTACTACGAGTCCTCCTGAAAGTGAGGAAAGTTCAGATCCAAGATCACTGCAACATGCTTAAGTCTACAGGTTAGCATCATAAGCATTCCACAGTTGATAAACTGAGTACATGAAGTCAAGACATTCTCTTCCATGTAGGGAACAAGCCACATGCCAAGTGTCTTCTACTTACCTAGTCAAAAAGGAAAAAAAAAAAAAGGAACTGGACTGTTTCCAGCAAGTCTTTTTTTCTTACTTACTTGTAGGAAAAGGAAACTCTTTGTTACAATCCAAATGTAGCTGAGCTTCTAAAGAAAGTGTCTCGAATCTGTTGACAAAGAACTCCCAGCTTAAAGCGGGGATATCTTGCTTAAGGAAATGCAAGAGTAAAAGTTTGCTCAAGATGGTGGGGCGGTCTTTAACCACAGTGTCAAACTGGAAGTCAAGGCAGAGACAAAGGCCCTGGAAAAGAGGGATCAGACAAACATCTCAGTCTTCAGAGAACATACACCAGGCAGTCCATGGAACGAGACAACACGCCCCAAAGCAAAATTACCCAGCTGGACTCTTTCTGATCCCAAGTACTGGAAGGGGAAAATGTGCGAGAGGTTTTCTCCTGATTTCAGAATACCTCTTCAGTTTGATGAAGAAATATAAACTAAATGTGTGCTACTTGCCCTCTAAATATTAAATATCATCCACCTAACCCAAATACTAGTGTATCGTTTTTCAAATATCTGTAGCTCTCACCGAGAAGCATACTTTCACCATTATATTTTGTTCTATTATTGTGTCTGTATGTGTGAGTGTACCCACGTGTGTGAACATGCATGCACACACCAAGCACACGTGGAGGTTCGATAGTAACTTTCGAAAGCCTGCTCTCTCCTGTAACAAATGGTTCAGGTCCTCAGACTTGTACCTCAAGCACCTGTCCTACTGAGCCACCTCACCTAAGCTACGACACATGAAAGGAGGGTCATTAAATTTCCTTACAACCTTAAATTGTGTGTTTGTAAAAAATCAACAGTCATTCTGTCTCCTTGGAATACAAGCAGAAAACACATTAAAAACATTTAAAGGAGGAAATGGAGGTGTGGAAGTTTGAATGAAAATGGCCCCATAGACTCAGGAATGGGCACCATTGGGAGGCATGGCTTTGTTGGAGTAGGTGTGGTCTTGTTGGAGGAAGGGTGTCACTAGGGGTGGGCTTTAAGGTTTCAGAAACTCAATCTAAGCCCAGTGTCTCACTGTCCCTTCCTGCTGCCTGAGGATCTGGGTGTAGAACTCTCAGCTCCCTCTCCAGGACCATGTCTGCCTACACACCACCATGCTTCCCGCCATGTTGATAATGGACTAAGCCTCTGAACTGTAAGCCAGATACAATTAAATGTTTTCCTTTATAAGAGTTGGTCATGGTGTCTTTTCACAGCAATAGAACACTGACTTAAAACAGGATGGAACATCTATTTCTCTAGTTGATGAATCAATCATTATTTTAAACTTATTCAAATTTAAAAATGTAACCTATCTAGCCATCCCATTCATCCATTCTACTATTACTTAATGGGTAGCCCTGAGCAAAGGGAGGGCATCAACTGCCTGGCGAGTCAAATGGGAAGAACCACCTACAGAACAACTGAGTTTTATAGGCACAGTGTGCCTTGGGCTGCACAGCCCTATATTTTTCCAGATCCTGCACAGGTGGTTCTTTCTTCTTGCTTGGTCTTACAACAAATGAAAACTCTTAATACTAGAGAGAATGAGGGGAGGGGGAAGGGAGGGAAGGAGAAGGGGGAGGGAGGAGAAAAAGTTAAGAAATTGAACTTTATTAAGTCAAACTGGAGTCTGTGACTTTGTCTTTGCAACCTCCAGCTTCTCCAAATGCAATAATGGGAACATACAAAAAGGGGTAAGGGAGGTAATTCATGGTGGGACAATTCTACTACACATCCTGGCAATGCAATGCTTGTCTTGCAAATGTTAGCTCTTGCCATTGTTATTAGTTTTGATAACAACAACAAACCAGTATCAGTATAGAGAAACAGTAGAGACCCTAGTCTTGGCTGGTACTAATGCACTATGTGCCCTTCGCTAAGCCTATCATCTCTCTGAGGCTTGCTTTCTTATTACAGTAGAGATAAATATGAGACCCTCACCAGATCACCTACTGTGTCTCTTGGGTTTCATGATATTTAGTTCGGTGGCGTTCTCACCTTACCATGCTTCACTTTGATTCCCCTTAGCATCTAGCCTCTAACAGCAACTTCGGGCCAGAAGCCAACAGAATAGTACAAAATGAACCAGCCTACCTTAAAAATATGTACCCCCTTCCTGCCAAATACAACAATTACATCTGTCTACAAATTTTATCAGTGTGTGAGGAAAAGGAGCATTTAAAAAGTTTTATCCATAAATAAAACAAGTTACCTTTAATTAGATGTGGTTCCCAAATGTTTTTCCCACTGTTCAGGGAGAGTCGAGGGTAAAATAGATCCCTTCTTGTTTTCATTATAACATAACAAGCACACATTCGGACATACACAGATCTCTGCTACCCCTATCACCAATATCATGAGTTTGCATGGTGCTGTAGTCTGAATATGTGTGTCCACTCTCCTAAAGGATTCACTATGCTGAAACTCAACCACTTATGTGACAATATTAGAAGGCAAGCTTTTGGGGGAAGACAAAGTCATGTGGACAAAGTCCTCGCAAATGGAATTCTTGTCCTTAACCAAAGACCCAGGAACAGTTAAAAGCATTATCTATGAACAAGAAAGTGGCCCTCACCAGACACTGAATTTATAAGCACCTTGGTCATGGACCCCTCAGACTCCAGAATTATACTACATAAATTTCTATGGTTTTATAAGTTAGCCTGTTTGTGGTGTTTTGATAGAGTATGGCTGAACAAGACAGTGACAAGGTCAGTGAGCTGTCGGTGTTGACAGACAGTCTGTAGGGCTGATATTACACATCTCCATCACCTGCAGTGCGGGCCTCTTTATGGTATCAAGCAGGAGACCCGCCCTGGTGGCCACTGCGGGGTTGACATCCTCCACAGCTGTCAGGAAGCAGCAGAAGGCATGTGCCAGCGAGTACTTGAGCAAGTGGTTTTTGGTCACTGAGTGAATATCCAAAAACCTACAAATGACAGCTACTTTTTCCACTGCAACATAAAATACAGAGGACAAAGGGTGTAAGTGTGTATATTGAAAATATTATACTTATTTAATTAAAATGTTATCTCATTTATTTACTTGTAGGTGCAGCGCACTTGTGACACAGGGCTTGTGAGGAGTTCAGAAAACAACTGTGGGAGTTGGTTCTCTCCTTCCACCCTGTGCTTCCAGAAGACTAAACTCAGGTCTTCCAGGCTTGGAGGCAAGTCCCTTACCAACCATTGAGCCATCTCACTGACCATGCATTGACATCTATTTAGGCCTCGTAAGAACTGAACCCCATAAGAAAAAAAGTTAACCTGGGGTTCCTACATGGAGATTTTAAGTATCAGCAGTAAAGACCATACCCAAATTTCAAAACTGAACATCTGGTTCACCTTATGACCCAGAGGACTTTGAACTAATACAGAAGTACCTGCTTCAAACCTCATCTTCCAGTCTTTGCTGTTGAAGTTGCCATTTATGATTGTCCAGAATATGTCAGCACCATGAGGAAGTGACAGAGCATGAAGAAGGAGAGGGACCGCCAGTGAAGACAACTGAGAGAACTCGGACTTGACAACTCTCCACAGGCTGGGAAATGAAGGAGCAGCAAAGGTGTTACAGTCATCGCCACCTTTTCCGAAGCAAAGAGCCTACTCTCTTAACTCAGTGGCTCTCAACCTGCAGGTCTTGACCCCTTTGGAGGTCAAGCAACCCTTTCACAGGGGTCACCTAAGACCATCGGAAACATGGATATTTACATTATGATTCATAGCAATGGCAAAATTACAGTTACAAAGCAATAAGAAAAATAATTTATGGTTGGGGGTCGCGACATGAGGAACTGTATTAAAGGGTCGCAGTATTAGTAAGGTTGAGAACCACTGTCTTAACTTATGGTAGGTGTAGACAGTGGGTAACAGTGGGAAGGTCTAGGTGAAAGTGCTTCATTCACAAGACTATAATCCTCCAACAAACATTTACGTTTGGATCTGTTACTGTTTTCTGAAGATATTACTTTAAGGTAACCTTATTGAAAAAATTAACATAAAACTTTAATTCCATATACAAATCCAACTATATAAAAGAATTAAATAATATACAAAATTAACAATTATATTAATATTACAGTGTGATAAGTGGCTTTAAAATTGTCTCTTATGTGAATAACTATAGTTTCATTGTTTTGCTTTTAATTTTTTATGCCCAGCAGCCTTTCCCCTCTTTGAATGGCAAAGAATAACTCCGTGTCCACTAACAACAGCCTCTCTAAAAACTATCAAGACTGTACTCAAGGTCTCCCACTTTTCCTACCATAAGGATGAGCACAAAACAGGTTTACCAAGTCACCGTACTGTCCTGAACTGAGTGATGGGTCTATGAGCCAGCAGACATATGACCCAAACTTAAGAATATCAGAACCCTTTTTTTCAGGTCACAGTGTCTCTCCTTCAAAAATTTCATGACTAAGCCAGGCGTTGATGGCACATGCCTTTAATCCCAGCACTGGGAAGGCAGAGGCAGGCAGATCTCTGTGAGTTCAAGACCAGTCTTGTCTGCAAGAGCTAGTTCCAGGACAGCCTCCAAAGCCACAGAGAAACCCTGCCTCAGAAAAAAAAAAAACAAAAACAAAACAAAACTTAATGACTGAAGCACAATGTCAATCAAAAGCTGCCAGGGACCCGCCTCTCAGGGTCAGCTGATCTAGAAAGAAGTCATTAGTTTGATCTAACGAGCTAAGCTGGTATTAGGCTAAGAGGCTAAGTGACAGAAGGACGGGAGAAAAAAAGACGAGATGGGGTACACCTGGTGACCATGGTCTTCACTCCTGTGCCCCTGAACATTAGACAAAAAGAAGTCCAAACCCTGAGACCACCCACCAAAAGCAGTTAGCTCCCTTCAGCAGCAATTCTTTGTTATTTCTTACCGACTCCCATTGCTTCCCTCCTGTCTCCTTGGAGCCCCCAACCCAGTCTCCATCTTGTGTCTGTGGAGAAGCCCACTCCCCTTACTCTCCTTAAGGCTAAATCCTCTATTAAACCCCCTTAACTCACATCCTTTCTTTACTTGTGAAGTTATCTTTCCTTCCAGCATTCCCTCTCTGCTCCGCCATGGCCTTTATTCTTATTAGTCCTCTGCCTGCCTGAGCCTGGCTGCTCTAATTCTGGCCCCACATTCTCTTGTCTGGACTCTTTTCTGCAATCCCTCCCCTCTGACCATAGATCTATCCAGACTTTCTTTAGCACCGCCCCAAGCCTTTGACATCCACTCCCTTGCCTGTTGCTGTTCCTTTACCAGAAAACTTTCTAGAGAAAAGGTGTTCTGAGGTACATCTTCACAGCCCTTGAGTCCCGGAAGCATGTCTACAGAGCCTCTCTTCTTCACACTTTCCAGCTAAAGTGCGTGCTGACTTTGTTCAGTTTTCACTACTTTTCATGGTCTCCACCCATCGCCAAAGCGAGGCACCATCTTCAAGACTCGTCATGCCTGGCCCTGGCTGGCTTCTCTATCGCTTTCCTTACTCCCCGGAAACCCCACCTTAGACAGTGCAGCCTAGTTCATCACCTCACCAGTGTTTCCCATTTCTTGCCCCCATTTTTATCAACTCCACTATCTCTTTGTCCTTGACATTCCTGCCTTCCAAAAATGTCCTATCTATATTACATTTCTATTATAATCCAGTCCCATGATGTGACTCAGATGCACCTGCTGCTGAGCCTGCCAATCATTAGTTCAGAATGATTCTTGCCTACCTGTGACCTGGGTAGAACAGTCACTTACCACATGACACTGGATTGTGACTTGTGTGTACACAGGACAGAAATCTGTATTAGTTTATCCATTATCTTACTCTTGTTTGTCATTTGGAGATTGTTATCAAGGCTGTCCCTTCCTTCAGCCCCCAGATAGACTGATTCATGGTGCTAGTGTGTGTGCATGTGTATGTGTGTGTGTATGCTCCAGAGTGTGTGTGTATGCTTGAGTGTGAGTGTGTGCACATGTGTTTGTGCATGTGTGTATGCTTGAGTGTGAGTGTATGCACGTGTGTTTGTGCATGTGTGTATGCTTGAGTGTGAGTGTGTACACACGTGTGTATGCTCAAGAGTGTGTGTATGCTTGAGTGTGAGTGTGTGCACATGTGTTTGTGCATGTGTGTATGCTTGAGTGTGAGTGTATGCACGTGTGTTTGTGCATGTGTGTATGCTTGAGTGTGAGTGTGTGCACATGTGTTTGTGCATGTGTGTATGCTTGAGTGTGAGTGTGTACACACGTGTGTGTATGCTCAAGAGTGTGTGTATGCTTGAGTGTGAGTGTGTGCACATGTGTTTGTGCATGTGTGTGTATGCTCAAGAGTGTGTGTGTGTATGCTTGAGTGTGAGTGTGTGCACATGTGTTTGTGCATGTGTGTGCGCGTGCACACGGGTGCTCGAGTGCTCATGCCACAACACATCCATGAGTGTGCACTTGCCCATGAGTGGAGGCCAGAGGTTGTCTTTAAGTGTTTCCTCTGCTTTCCACTTTCCTTCTTGAGACAGGGTTTCTCAATGAGTCTGCACTTCATGGTTTTACTGAGACTGACTGATCAGCAAGGCCACAGGTCTGGCTTGTCTCTGCATCCCCAATGCTGGGGATAAAATACCATGCCTGGCTTTTATGTGGCTAGCTGGGACTCCAAACTAAGTCCCCAAGCTTATACAGCAGCACTTCATCCTCTGAGCCATCTCCTGAACCCAAAACACACAAAACTAAACAATAAAATATCTTGTCACCTTTTATGTTTATTGTTCATCGCTTCCCACACTAGACTGAAAAATCCCTCATCTAGAATAGTATGATAAACAAAAATACAAATAGGTTATTATATTTGTTGAATGAATGAATAAATAAAGCCTCGACTTGATTTTGTTACAATGCATGAACAAGCCTTTTCAAAAATCAGACTATCCTCTTACATTGTGCGAACATTTAAAATTACCTTTTTCTGGCTCTCCTCCAGGAAGACTATAACAGTTACTTGAAGGTTCTCAGAAAGAAAGCACCATAAACCTAGGGCACTGTTCTATTATTATTCTCAAAATGCCTCTATGTCTTGAAAGCAAGGCTGATGGCACCCAGAGGGGCTCAGTATCCGCCAACATTTCTAGTTCAAGTAAGATTACTATCTTACAAAACTCACACTCGGCAGCATTGTCTGCCACTGGTGTTTATCTAGGGTCTATTCATAATTCAATCATAGAATGACCCGTATTTTACATGTCTGGCCCAACAGAATCTAATAAGCAAACATTACCCTCTTCCTGTTGGCATACTTAGACACAATACAGGAAAGATGAGTGCAGTACCTCACACCTTTTATCTCAGCACTCACGAGACAAAGGCAGGTGGGTCTCTGAGTTCAAGGCCAGCTTGATCTAATGACTTATAAGCAAGCCAGGGATACACAGTGAGACTCTGCCTCAAAAACCAAAACAGGCCTGGTGGTTGGTGGCGCACGACTTTAATCCCAGCACTCAAAAGGCAGAGACAGGCGGATCTCTGTGAGTTTGAGGCCAGCCTGCTCTACAAAGTGAGTTCTAGGACAGTTGGGGCTACACTGAGAAATCCTGCTTTGAACACCCCCTCTCCCCCCAAAAAAAACAGGAAGTAAGGGAGTTTCTTTAGCATTACTGTTCTGGGAGGGAAAAATCAAATGAAATAGAGTAAGTCTTACTCGCACTTTAATTGTTATAACTGAAGGCCAAAACATAAACAAAAATGGTAACAGTACATACCTTGCGATCAACATGTGGTCCTGAATGTAGGCTAAAAATTGAGGATGGTCTTTCCTCGCAGTGTATAAACACTCTCCGTGCAGACAGAGAATCTTTAGGCAATTGAGCATATTAAAAAGAATGTCTGGCTCTTCAAACTTAGCCATTTCCTATGCAAAGAGCACACGGTCACTGCGTTTTCCAAAACAACAAATAGTTTCAAAACCAAACCAAATGTTCAAATATTTCAGAAAAATCTACCTGGAAAATGGTATATATTAGTCTCAACGTTACTGGAAGCTGTTGGTAGCAAAATTTTCTTTCCGTATCATTCTTTATTGCTATGGAAAGATAATTACACAAAGGTTAGCCTGGCTCCCTTCCTCCCATCATTCATTAGTTCATCAAGATTATGAAACCAGAGAGGGGTGAGAAGGTAGAAAACGCATTACATGTTTGTAGAATTTCTCACTTGTTTTTTTATATATATATTATCATGTGCCCACTGGGTGTGCTAGCTCACGCCTTTAATCCCAGCACTTGGGAGGCAGAAGCAGGTAGATCTCTGTGTGTTCAAGGCCAGCCTGGTCTATATAGTGAATGCCAGGACAGGCAGAACTACACAATGAAACCCTGTATGAGAGAGAGAGAGAGAGAGAGAGAGAGAGAGAGAGAGAGAGAGACCTTAGCATATGCCCTTCTGTGAGGAAATATAAGAAACCTAAATCTAAGATTGTCAGCCTCCATTTTTCGCCGCAGAGCCTGCATGTTATCCCAGCGTCTTTGGCTACCTGAGCCACCCCAGCCTGAGCCTGTGCTCCTGTGGGTGAAGGAACCTGGGGCTGGCAAGGCATTCCCTGATAGTTAAAGGGAGATAGAAGGTATGGAAGAGGGAGGAGCAGCTGGATTAGCACCTAAAGAAAGGCTACAATATAGACTGGCAAATAAGACACTTTGAAATAAAAGATGGCTTCCAAGTGAAAACACCGCTCATAGATGTTCTTGTGAGGTTCTCCAAGCTGGGCCTCCAAAATGGGACAACACTACAGTGTGCATACAGGCATGCTAGAGTTACCAAGTTAGCCAGACATCAAAACTAATGGGATATTATAGCATAGAAGGAGGAAGGGTTCTCAAGACCCTTACCCCTAGCTGAGGGGTTTTTGACATTAAATGGCTTGGATGTGAGTGAGAGTCGTTGTATGGCCCTTGGTAGGTAGGTCCTGCTCCAGTGAATGGTCTCACACACATGTATACTTGCCCAGCACAAAGTGGAGTCTATGCGCTATTAAAAAAAAAGTTGAAAGAATGAGGTTGGGGGTGGGTTTGGGAGGCGTTAAGGAGGAGCGGAGATGAATAGGAACAAAATACATCATAAGAAATTTTCAAGGAGTTAACAAAAATATTGTTTTTTAAAAAAACTACTGCAAGATGGGCAAAATAATGTGCCAATGTAAGTTCTGGCATTTCTTAGGATAGGAGACAATGAGAGCCAAATCCTCTTGGCTGGTACATCAGTCACTTTCTCAATGATCTACTCAAAGGCATTTTACACACTGTTATCAGCACCCAACTCATTATGGTTAATGTGAAAGTGTACAAATAGCTTTGGTGATAGACACAGCTGGTATCTGTGAGAAATAGATCTTCCTGCAAATGCAGAAAGAGGAAACAGGTAAAGTATTGGACATCACTGAGTCCATTCCTGTAGCACCCAGGTTCTCTGAGCAGGAGAGCCCAGGACCACCACTGATGGCCACAGGACAGAAGCAGCACCAGTTTCAGAGTGGCAGGGAACCCTGGTCCAGGAGAGTATTACAGGAGATATACATTATTCCAGGTTTTTTTTCCATTTTGGTTTTTTGGAATCTCACAATATACTACAGAATGGCTCAGAACCCATGATCCTCCTGCCTCAACTTCCCACGCACAGGCATTATGAACATACTCAGGAGTGAGTTTATAACTGCACCATGCAAGGGGGCAAAAGACAAAAGGAGGAAATCAGGCTGAGGCTGTGATGGGAGCCTTGAAGTAGGACTGGGGGGAGGGGCACAAATGTTTTAAAAGGCAGAATTTATACCAACTTCATTGGAAGAATATGAGGCCTCTGTGACCATAGCTTCCTATATGCAGACTCAACGAAGCAAGGCTCACTGGAGAGCCAGGCTGCATCTGCTCTGAACACACACAGATTTTCATTTCTTTTAGGCCATTATTCTGTAAACAATATGGGGCGTTAAAGTAACTCAAACAGTAGAGCACTTGCCTAGCATGCACAAGGCCCTAGGTTCAACCTGTAGTATTGCAAAACAAAATTAAGAATTATAAGTAATCTGATGATAATTTAAACTAAATAGGAAGATATGTATAAGTTATGAACAATTGCTATCCCTTTTATATCAGGGGCTGGGGCACTTATAGAGAGGAAGGTGCTATATCCTAGAACCAATGTACTACAAAGCTGAGGCAGGAGAATTAATGCGAATTCAAGACCAAACCTGGCATACATGGTGTGTTCCAATTCAGCCTGGACTATTCAGTGAACATTTATCTCAAAAACAACAAAAAGAAGTGATAATTAATTGTGTTGTGTGCTATGAGATAAAACTATTTTCACAGAAAGAGCATAAATTATGAGATCCTGATAGATATAAAGCTTAACAGAAACATAACTCCAGCTCTGTGTTCCAGTAGCCGCAACCATAAAGCAAGACCATTGCCTCTAAGAAACCAAGAGTCCTGGTTCCAGCTCCTGTCCCTAGTAACACTGTAGTGTTTGATTTCCTAATTCTCCGACCCTGCCCACTATTGAATCAGAGGTAGAGGTTAGGGTCTTGTTTATTTTTTTAAATACATATTGAGTGTACATTATAAATGAATTACACAAGCCATATACAAGTCACTTAGCCTGTCTGGGACTTGGCTTTTCATTGTTGATTTGTCGAAGATGTGTGTGTGTGTGTGTGTGTGTGTGTGTGTGTGTGTGTACATATATAGAAAGAGAAACTATTTACATAAGGAAAGGCATAGTACTGGTGGAAGTTGGATGGGGAGTTTCATCATTTGCCTTCATTTTTTCTACCAATTCCCACCCCAACCGAGGAGGTTACAGAGGATGTAACATGGAGCCTTTACTACTGCAGAGCCAGTAAAACACATCACCTTCTCTAATTTTCCATAGAGTCAGACAGTCAGAGTCTACTAACCATTTATAGTATCCATCCTTCCACAAGCACTTAGTTACAGCAAGGATTTTGTAGTGAATGTAATTATCATGTACCACAGAAAATAGTCCCCTAAGAATGTTTGCTGTTCACCAAAAGGATAAAGCCCACATGCTTCCTAATCCTAGAGTGGACCTCCCAGGAGCAAGACAGTCTAAGACAGTAGGAATAAAGTCTTAAAGGCTGCCCAAATCTGTCCTAAGTCCTTTACAAACCCCCAAAGCATCACCATTCAAACCTAGGCATGAGGACACATCTTAACTCTGAGTGTGAGAAGTTAGGGAATGATTTCCCAGTCTGTCTGCCATCTTGGTGTCCTTAGTTCGCACATCAATAGCCTTTAAAGAAATTACAAAGAAACCATCCTTCCAACTAGAAGGAATGACCAGCCCTGGAGCACACTGAGGCACCTGTCTAGGGTCTTGGCCAGTCTCCCAAGATGCAGATGCTGTGTGGACACAAGTTCTATTGCCTCTGTCCAAAAGCATTCGATAATTGAGACTGTTAGCATCCTCCATCTCAGCCATTCTCAGCTACTTCTGCATAGAGAACACAGTGCAGTATATAAATATCACATTAGGTCTCTATATACCAGGATGAGTTTTTACTGACAACAAGATCCTGGGGCCAGGAAGAGACTTGGAGGCTGGCACTCCTCTGGGGCCATAACAGAGCTGTTCTCTTTCTTACATGGTAGGAAATGCTTCATCTATATAGTCTACACTACGGAAGCAGCATTGAACTTCTCCAAGTTGCTGAAGTTGTATAAGCCTAAAAGTGTACATTCCGTACTCCCATCAGCCAATTCCACTTACCAGCATGTTCTGAGGGCGCTGTACGGGTACCTGGATTCTCTCCATGCTTGGCTGTTGGGTTCTCCTCCTCTTCTCCCTCAGGCCCTATAATGAACTCTGGTCTGGAAGAAAGGAGGCTATCTTCAAGGCTGTCTGTGGGCTCCTGCAATAAATACAAGCAGCTATGGGAGGGGCCATAAAGAACAGCTTGGTTTAAATTGACAACGGTGGATCAGCCTGTTCTACCCAACTCTGTGGTAGCCAAAAGAAGAGCCCGTACCTACACTTACATCCACCCTACTGAGGGATGTGCATGGACCACTGGTGAAACATTTGCTTTTGTTTACAGGTTACAGGAAAATAAAACATTGACTGATCTGCTTAGACAGCTCCCACACCTTCCTTTAGCCCCAGAGATCAGTATCCCACTCACAACTTATTTAGGAGTTACTGTTTTCAGACATAATGCCGATTCTGCTTACCTGGATGAGGCAATGTATTAGAAGCAAGGAGTTGATGTAATTTGTGAGTTAAAGGGAGCAAAGGTATACAACTCAGGTGTCTATCAACAGACTGATGGATCAGCAAAATGTCTATCCACACAACAGATTGTTACTCAGGTTTTACAGGGAGATACTGATGCCTGGTACACCAGAGGAAGCTTGAGGACATGACGCCAAGTGACATAAGCCAGTCACAAGGGACAAATACTGTAGGCAGTCACGTAGACATCTACAGTAGCCAAAGTTATAGAAACGGACAGTAGGAGCTGGGAATGGCAAGATGGGCAATTGTTGTTAAAAGTCCTAGAGATTGGCTGGGTGGTGGCGGCGCACATCTTTAATCCCAGAACTTCGGAACAGAGGCAGGTGGATCTCTGTGAGCTCAAGGCCAACCTGGTCTACAGAGTGAGTTCCAGGACAGTCTCTAAAGCTACACAGAGAAACCCTGTCTCGGGAAAAAAAGTCCTGGAGATTGATTGGTTGCACAATAATGTGCATACGCCAGCATCATTTATATACATATACATATGTATGAGAGAGAGAGAGAGAGAGAGAGAGAGAGAGAGAGAGAGAGAGAGAGAGAGAGAGAGAGAGAGATTTACATGTGTAAAACAAACTGCAATGTAAAGAACAGGAAACAGAAAGTAAAGAGAAAATAAAGACCTGCACTCAGGAGGCACAGGTTGTATGAGCCAGAGTTCAAGGCCAGCCTGGATGACACAGCATGGCCCTATCTCAAAAAGCAAGGTGGAGGAATACATGAGGTATGGCCATTATATAAATATCTAATTTCTAGCTATTTTATCCTTTTTCTCTCTTTTTTAAAAAAATTTTATTTATTTATTTATTACACATACAGTGTTCTGCCAGAAGAGGGCACCAAATTGAATTGTAGATGGTTGTGAGCCACCATGTGGTTGCTGGGAATTGAACTCAGGACCTCTGGAAGAGTGGTCAGTGCTCTTAACCTCTGAGCCATCTCTCCAGCCCCTCTTATCCTTTTTCTTGTCAGTGTTATCACCAAATACTCTCTTTGGAAATTACCCTTCTAGCTAATATTTTAACCAACAATTATTCTTAAAGAATTATTTGGCAGCCAGTTCAAAACAAATAGGCAAAGAGAGTCAATAAAGGGCATCAGAAAGTAAGTAATGCTAAGACAGTGGCTGACCGTTTGGGACTAGGAATCAGGCAGATCACAGATAGATAGACAGAAAAAGGGGTCCCAAATGGATCATAAAGATGGGAAACTTGTGGGGTTTTCCTCATACTCATGACCAGACACAAAGGCATAAAGGTCTGGTGTACTTCTTTTCCCCCAGTAGGAGCCCCATGCTGTGGATGAGTTGGACAAGTTCAAGGACTGATCAGGACAGTTTGGGGCCCATCAGCTTTCCTATCTTTGTTCAACCTGGCCAACCCTGTGTTAGAGAGAGAAGATCCCTCAAAGACTCTTCACACGCCTGGTCCTGCTCTGCTTTATCTACGTGTGCCTCATGAACCACCCCTCCATCTCTCCCTCAAGTGCGTGTGCATATGTGTGTCTGTGTTTCTGTGTCTGTGTGTGTGTCTGTGTCTGTGTGTCTGTGTGTATCTGTGTGTGTGTCTGTGTGTATCTGTGTGTGTGTCTGTGTGTATCTGTGTGTGTGTCTGTGTGTATCTGTGTGTGTGTCTGTGTGTATCTGTGTGTGTGTCTGTGTGTGTGTCTGTGTATCTGTGTCTGTGTGTCTGTGTGTGTCTGTGTGTATCTGTGTGTGTCTGTGTGTGTGTCTGTGTATCTGTGTCTGTGTGTGTGTCTGTGTCTGTGTGTATCTGTGTGTGTGTCTGTGTGTGTCTGTGTGTATCTGTGTGTGTGTCTGTGTGTGTCTGTGTGTATCTGTGTGTGTGTCTGTGTGTGTCTGTGTGTGTGTCTGTGTATCTGTGTCTGTGTGTCTGTGTGTCTGTGTATGTGTCTGTGTGTATCTGTGTGTGTGTCTGTGTATCTGTGTCTCTGTGTGTGTCTGTGTCTGTGTGTCTGTGTGTGCATCTGTGTGTGTGTGTCTGTGTGTGTGTGTTTGTGTGTATGTGTCTGTGTGTGTGTCTGTGTGTGTGTCTCTGTGTGTGTGTGTCTGTGTGTGTGTGTGTGTGTATGTGTGTGTGTGTGTGTGTGAAAGGGAGAGAGAGGGACGGAGGGAGGGAGGAAGGAAAGGAGGGAGCATGTGTGTATTGCATGTCTCCTCACCTCTAATAACCATCTTTCTTTCCCTGCTGCTTCTGTCTGCTGTGTCTGAGATTTCCCCTGCTGTCACTTGCTGCACTGGAGAATTTTTCTGCCTTTTACTTCTTTAACTGACAGAGAAAATGAACTCCATCAAGGTCTCTGAAAAATAATTTTCCCAGCTTCACAGGTTTACTGAGGCTGGCTCTGTTCCTAGGCCACCTATAAACAAGATAGCCAGTCACATTGTCAGCTGGGTTTCATGTGGACAGTTACCTGCTGCTTGCTGATTTATTTACAAGCACCAGGAATCCACTGTGACAGGACCAGCATTGCCTGCCTTGAAAACTAGCCCAAGCATTCCACCAGCCCATTCTCCATGTGCTTATCTCACCGTGTCCTCCCCTTGACCCAGGAAGACGAGGAGAGACCTAAGATGGCCAGTACAGGTGGCGAAGACCATGTTCCAGGACAGACATCTCTTACTCAAGAGAGCCTCTCTCCCAGCTGAATTTCAAAGACAATCAGAGCCCTGGCTTCGTCTCCAAATTCATATTAAGTAAACAAATTTATATTAAGAATGTTGTGAGAAATTAAGAGACATGAAGGAAGCCGGGCGTTTGGTGTCTCACGCCTTTAATCCCAGCACTTGGGAGGCAGAGGCAGGCGGATCTCTGTAAGTTCGAGGCCAGCCTGGTCTACAGAGCGAGTTCCAGGACAGCCTCCAAAACAATACAGAGAAACCCCGTCTCAAAAAACTAGAGAGAGAGATGAAGGATTGATTGCTTGGGCTGGCTCAGGTTCTCTATATTTATGCTTAATTTTCCTCTTTGTCTTGGATGACGCAAGCTTGCTAGGATGAGAGAGAGCTCAGGACAACCCCGTGTGGCCTCTTCCCCTTACAGTTCATCCTCCAAAGAGATGCCTAGGATCCATACAGACATTTTTTCAGTTGACTTGTTCTCGAACTGTGAGCTGCTAGAATCTGCCTTCACTCCCTGGTTACCACCATCCCCAAGGGCACAAAGGACCCACCAACTGCAGGATTCTCTGGGCATTTTTCTTTTTCCTCTCCTCGGAATGTGAGGTTCAATATTCCCTCCTGTTGGGCACTGTCTCCTGCCTTGGTTTCTTTGTTATCACTCCCCTCGGTTTTTCTCGAGTGGTCCTGACCTCTTTGTGAAGCTTTACCTTTGGTCTTCTCTTTTTCCCTCTTAATAGTTGGCTCTTCCCAGAATTAGACTACATTACTCTGAAGCATTTCTTTCTTTCCAAACTTTCTCTTGAGAATGAGATCCAACTCTCATGATGCATGGTAGCTCTTCTTGAACATTCAAGCTGTGTGCTAGTTTGTTCCCTTACACCCTGTTGAGATTGTCCCCGTGTGATATTGAGGTGAGACCAGGTGGGCCTTTTAAGAGGTGGTTAGAGCTTCATCACTAACAAATCAATGCCCATGCATCATTCAGAGTGTTGGGCATGGACAGTAGTTGGAGAGAAAAATGGGGTGTGGGGAGAGTGTCTTATAGTAACTTCCCAATGGCTGTGTTAAGGAATATTATATTAAGACAAGACTAATAAGATCAATAGACTGCTGCTGAAAGCAGACTTTATTGCTTATATGTGATACTTCAAAGAGTTTGGATCTTTTTAGATAAGTAACTTTTGACCCAAAATAATTGGTGAAGAAGCAGAAGAAGGCAGAGGGTGGCTTGGATAACTCAGTTTCATCTACCTCTGATAGGTATTTTAGTGTTATGTGAGCCCTTTAAAATATGCTATACAGAAGAAAGCTAAAGTATGGAGTCACTGAAGTGTGGCATCCATCAGCTGTCAATTCTTTATGTGATTTTTCCTAAAAGCAAATCATGAACATAATCAGAAAAGAGAATGGGTTTTCTTCATTGTTGATAAAGTTGGTGAGTTCCTTGAGTCAGTATCCACATACAATCTACTTTATATTTAACTCTGTGATGTCCACTATTACTTCAACTTCATAAAAGTAACTGAGTGATAAAGAGTCCTTTAGGGACACCAGTAATGTTCTGTGTTTGTGAAAAATTCTATGGGTAGAGTTGCCACCACTCAAACATTCTGTATCCTATGCCTCCATCTCCTATCCTGGATAACGGTGAAATATCCCCCATCACACCAGCTTTGTTCATGGTGAGTCATCTCATTGTTCAACTGCTTACCACCAGGCGGCTTTCGTCTTTGGGGGCTAGTCTCTCCAGGAGTTCGCAAGCAAGCTGGTAGCAGAGGATGCTAGACTGGCATAAGTTACATTCCTTTGCCTTTTTGTCCTTCTGGCAGCTGTGGGAGCCCCCCCAGGGGGCCTGGAAGACATTGTTGATGATAGAAATGATGTCCTTTGACAAACTGTGCTCTAAGCCCATCGTGATGCCATCATCTTGTAACTCCATCTGAAAGACACACAAAAGGACACAGAGAAAGAGAGAGAGGAAGGGAGAAAAGAGGCAGAATTTGGTCCTTAATCCAGCATTCTATTGACATAGTGCTTGCCAATTATTAAATTACTTTAATACAATATTTGCTCAAAAGCCACGGAGACACACTGCTTCCTAGCATCCATCTAAAAATAACATAAATACAAGATAAAGTTACAAATTATCCTTAAAATCACCTGTGGCATTACAGATGGTTCCAAGCCAACATGTATTGGGATTCAGACCTGGGTCCTCTGGAAGGACAGTCAATATTCTGTCCTTCCAGAGGATTCATCTCTCTAATCCCTGTAACCTTTTTTGTTTTGTTTTGTTTTACTTATAGAACAACCCAAGATTGCTTAATCTAATTATTTATTCTATTTTCTAGGTTTTTTCCTCTCTCTCTAAAATATGGTCTCACTATATAGGCCCATCTGCTCAGTACTCACTATGTAGGCCAGGTTGACCCTGAACTTGCAACAGTCCTCCTGTCTCATCCTCTCAAGTGTTGGAATTTAAGGAAGATGCCCTGTGCTTGTTGGGACAGTGACTTTTCATCCCTGTGGTGCTGGCAACTTCACTTAGAGCTTCTCACATAGTGAGGTAGGCACTGTACCACTGAACTGTGTCCCCAGACCTTCAGTCGCTGTCTAGAATTAATTCCTTGGTCATTTTGATTCCTGCCCCTGATTTTTTTTGAGAATATAGCCCTTTTATTTTGTAAAATGTATTTCAAATAGAGTTTGATTTTTCCATATTAATTGAGGCATACATTTGGGGACAGGCAAGAAGCTGACACATGTGATATTATATCCTCTCTGGTTATTGTATCAAGAGGCAGGGGCTGGAGTAATGGCTCAGCACTTGAGAGTATTTGCTGCTTTTCCAGAGGACCTGAGTTCAGTTCCCAGGACCCTCCTCAGGCTGATTACAACTGCCTGAAACTCCAGTTGCAGGGGATCCAATGTCCTCTTGTGGACTCCAGGAGCACCTGGACTCACACTGCATCTCCATCAGACACATACACACATAATTAAATACTTTTAAAGATCTTACATCAGGAAGCATAGGGTAGAATTACTGATGAGAGTTTGTGTCTCATCAATTTCTCTACTAGAAAATTATTACAATGATACATTGTACCCTGGGTTCAACATCTGCAAATCCAACTACAGCCAAGGACAAAAATAGTCGGAAAAGATCCTTGCATCTTCCCTGAACAGGTACAGGCTTGTCTTCTTCTTACCTAAACCATGCAGTGTAACAGCTATTCATGACACTCACATTGTATTAGGTGTTACAAATATCAAGTGATAGGATTTGAAGGGATGTACATATGTTATATTAGGTACTGTTGTATACAAATCCTGTGCCATTTCCTATATGAGACTTGAACACGCATGGATTATGGTGTCTGTGGATGTTTCTGGGATCTCCTAAAGACACCAAGAGAGGGCTCCCCTTTACCTTCTGTAATTAGTACATGGCCTGTGTGATTTCTGGTTTCTTATCCGACTCTGCTACTGGTTTAAACATGGTGGATGGTTCATGCTGAATCAATTGCTATTACAATGACTTCAAAATTATCATATTCCAAGTCCATCCTTTTTTCCTGCACTTGTTGATGTTGTAGCAGGACACTTCCCACTAGGGCAGCCTGTTCTCTATTGCTTGCTTACTAGTCATCTGATCATTCCTGTGCCTGTGGAGTCACACCGTCTGCCGCCATGATTAGTTATTCTGCTGCTCAGGCCACTCCTGTCAGGTCAGTTCAAATTCCTTCAAACCGGCTCTGTTTCTTTTAACACATCCACACCATTCTCTTTCTTTCTCCTTTGTGGTTTCAGGACTCAGCCAGAGGCCTTGAACATTTGGAGCCCCCCCGCTCTACCACTGAGCTACATCCTTAGCCTTCCACACTCTTTTAAAATAGTTCCTTAATTTCTGGCACTGTGAGACTTTCCAGACTCTTTCTTGTCTCAACTCCAGGACTAGTCGTTTCTCTAAAGAACACTGATTCCTTTCCTTGGATAATAGTACTCAGAAACCAAGATCTGGACAATAGTGAAATACTGAGATACAAGATCTTTTAAATGTGTCATATCACACTGAGTTATGAGTTTTAAAAGATGTATCTTTTCAAAAACACATGCAGGTAGCCACACACACACAAAATAAATAAATAGATAAAGAAATAAAATTTAAATTAGGCTGAGTTTACTTTTGCTTTGCTACAAATATGACCCATAAGTTAGATAGTAATACTTTATGATTTATTCAAATCTGAAGTGTGGAGATAGATACCTTGTTTGCAACGTACTCTCAACAACTCATTAAGAAAACAAGGGCCAACAACACCTGAAAATTTTGAGAGCAAGGTGTTGAAGGTTCTTTGAACTATTCTTGTGACTTGATGCAAACTCAAAATAATTTCAGTCTTTTAATTACAAGGAAATATCCTTGTCATCAGAGCCTTTTCAGCTTTTAAAATTCCTTTCAGAAGTCAGTTTATAAAACATACCTAAAGTATCCCCATCGCTACAAAAGTCTGCCATGGTCTTCCCAACAATAGCAGTATCCAGATTTTTCATCCATCCTATTCAACCTAAACAATGTTTCTAAAACTCAGATCCATTTTCATGTGTCAAAGACACTGCAGACAGTCACATTAAGTCGTTTTTAGACTCCTTGGCGTCTGAAAGTGTCTTAAATGATGTTGCCCCGCATCAATGAGAGCAAAGAGGCCACCCAATAGGTAACTCACTAGGACAGGGTCCTCTTTATGCCCACCCTGTGAACGAAAGGACTCTCACACTCCACTACCTGCTTTAGGAGAAGATCAAACATGAGGATGAAACAATTTAGATTCATGTCATCATCTTCACAGTCAAAATCAATAGTCCTTCCTCCTGGGTGTCCAAAATTCTTGAAAGGGCTACGAAATGGACTACGCATGGGACTCCGGAACGGACTCTGGAAAGGGCTATGAAACGGACTCAACACATTGTGCTGACCTCGTCGACCAGGATCAGAGGCGACACTCACCTGGAAGAAAGCACACCAGCAAAATGCAAATGACCTCAGGAAGGCTCCAAAGGCTCTCCGTGGTGTCTGGGGACCCTAGGGAAGGTGTTTCCTGCTGTCATACTAGCTCCCCAAAATCATCTGTATCCCCACAAAATGTATAAATGAGGCAGGAAGACATCCACATTTCCATACTAGCTGTCTGGAAATGAGTTGGAACCCTAAGAATGATGGTGTCGGCTATTATTTCCATCCCACCAAATGCTGCCAGAAGAAACTACAGTGGCTAAATCACTGAAAACATTGAAAATGAGAAATTATAAAGGTAAAACATTTTAAGATAATGTTTAGAGTTATAAATGGAGACTTCTAGATTGGAAGGACTTTAGACTGGCCTCTAGGATCATAATGATCACAGTCACACAAGAAAAGATGCAATGGACCTGTTGTACTGGCTGTGTCCCACGTACCCATTCTAACCCCTCCCAAAACCCTCACTGAGCTTTTTTACCCTGCTCTCTACTCTGTATCATCTGGCTACTCTGCTGCCTGGTGTCCAGGTGGGCTCAGTCCACGGCAGGCATCAGGAGAACACAAGGGCTGCAGGGGCAAAAGGTGGGAATATTTCTTGCCGCTCTGCCTGCTCTGCTGTGCACCTGCGGTCACCACTCTATGGTGACCTCGGTCAGCCACCTACTAGAGTTCCAGCTCCAGGATGGCTGCTGGAGTTCCTCACCCTTCAACCCTGCAGGTACAGTGGCTTCCGACGGAGCTATCACCAGCTGTGGCTGCTTTTAACTGTTCTCATAACACCACCAGCAGGATCCCCACTAAAACTAAGGGCAGTAAATTCTATGGTAGAGTCCTGTCTGTCTGTGTAGCATGCTCAAAATCCTATTTTATCCCAGAAGGACCATTCCAGTAATCAGGAAGCACAGTGAACACTGTTCAAGTTCCCCTTATGAGTTAGGATGCATGCTTACAGTGTCACTTCACTGGATCTTATAAGGCTCAGTATCTGTGAAAATGAGGATGATGGATTCTTGCAAACTTGTGACATTGTTCAGTGTGAACCCTACACAGACTGAAGGACCGTGCCACCAGAGCTTGCTATACAACCTGCGAGTCTCAAAAGGACAGGCAAGCAATGCTCTTTTTCAGAAAAGCACTAAGGACAACCTATGACCCCATGACCTCATTAGGGTTTCTGATACCCAGATGTCAGTGTAATGGCTTTGGGAGCATTCTGGGGACAGGCTTGCCATGCAGGGAGTTGAGATCTCAGGGACTAACCTCTCAGAAACTGATCATAGTCTGAGAACATCCCTCCACCTACAGAAACTCCTTCAGGTCCTCCATGGACATGTTACAAAGCACAGCAACCATTCTTAGGTACTTTTCTCACCCATAAAGATTCAATAAAAAGATCTCAGCTGACTTTTAAGGTCTCCACAAGTTGAATGTGTCTTCTCCAAACACAAAACAAACAAAAAAGTCACCCCAATCCCTCCCTCAAAGTGTAATACTGTCAGTAACTAGAAAAGAATTCCTGTTTACCAGGAAACACCCTACCCCCAGAGGTAGAATATAAACAGGAAAAACAAAAATACTCTCTTGCTCTCTCAATGACAAAATTTAAATTTAAAAGAAATGAAAACAGCAACTTAATTGATTAAAGGATATATCAAGTCTGTCTTTAACAAATGTTTTCTTATTTAATGTAATTAAAATATTAATGGACTGGAACTTGACACAATCTTTTCAAAGAGATCTCTAATGATGCTACTTTGGAGGCCAGAATAGCTGCTGAGCATTTCCCAAGTCTTAGCAAGTAGGACAAGAAAAGTCAAGGCAATAATTACCCTTCGTGCTGCGGTGTTCCCTGACAGCTCATTGGTTCTTGATTTTCTTTGATTTGCCAATTCTTTGACAGAATTAACACCATCAGAAAACATACTTATCAAGAGCTGAAGTGGAACCGTGATATCTAACTCCGATAGTACCTGGGGGAAAAAAAAATCACACACACACATACACCCCAAAAAGTAAATTTTCGACCTCAGAAAACTAAGTTTAACATTTTCTCTGTGTAAACTACTGATTGTGACCTCAGAAAACTAAGTTTAACATTTTCTCTGTGTAAACTACTGATTGTGACCTCAGAAAACTAAGTTTAACATTTTCTCTGTGTAAACTACTGATTGTGAAGACAGCTAGCATACACATATGCACACAGTCATTTTCAATTTTTCCCACTAAGGAAGTCAGCCATCTTTGGAGCCTCCACTTTCCCCTCCACACTGTCCAGGAAGCTCCAGCGTTCTTTCTGCTATCTCCCGTGACACTGTGTCCTCCTCTCTAGAGAGGAGCCTTTTCCCTCAGCTCGTATCATTGCAGCATCCGCACCCTGGCCCACTCCTACTCTGACTGAACGCTGCACGCCATCTTGCTTTCTGGTGTAAGTTCACATCCTCTCGAGGCAAACAGACCTCATCTGCAGTGAACTTTTTGGAGGTCCATGCTTCCTTTCTCTAGTCAGAATAAACCCCCCCTCTTCTCCCCTAGAACCCTCCTCGTGGCTTTCTGGAAAGTGATCACCACTTTTGTTGGGTTTAATTACTGGTACCATTCCACCCACTGTCAGCAGCTTGAAGGAAGGAAGATTGAGAAAAGGTCTGCTTCTAACCCGGCCTTATCTGACGGTATACAAGGGCTCAGCAAGCCTCCCCACAGCTCATTACTGCCAGCTAGTTTTGAGCCCTATCTTGTCTATTCACTGCAATGGTTAGGCCAGTACTTTGAAACCTTAATTGCAGCATCAACCTTCAGAGCAATGCAAAAGGCCCTGAGTTCGACCCCCAGCACCAGAGAAAGCAAACTTAAATATATATCTGTAATCAGAGTTAAACTATGGATCTGCTCTCATTTTGTGAAACTGCCTAAACTTCATGGGATGGTACTCAATTTCACAATTTTTAATTATTTTTTTAACTGAGTGTTTATTAAATAAAATGCATACCCAAATGCCAGGAGGAAAGGCTTAGGTAGACCATAAAGTTAAAAATAAGATGGGGTCCCTGAATTTGAAGGTTTGTAAGCTGAAGGAAAACCAACCCCCATAATCTGCCCCCTCAAAAAAACTTGGAAAGGAGAGAATTCACAAGGAGAACCTGTCAAATGCTACAAGACGGAACAATGATCTGGGTGGACTGAGAGCTACAGAAAACTTGAGAGGAGGTAATCTGTGAGGTGGGCTTTAAAAGATTGTTTGTGCTCTTTGATGGAGACAGAAGAGGAAGTCAGCCTGAGCTGAGGGGACAGCACTAACCTTTCCCTCCATGAGTGTTTCTCAATCTTCCCAGGCAAAGGCAATTTCTCTGAACCCAGGATACCTAGCCAAACACAGGACTAAAAGGCCCTCAAGTTTGGTAATATTACCAAATACATTTATTCACTATAGCTACAGCTACATATCAGAAATTTAGCCACTTATCTCTGCACATGTGACATTAAGCCTGCAGCACACTTTCATAAACACAAAGATTTGGAGTCGATTCAAAAGCCTTTCCCCCTTCCCCTAGGCATCTAAACACTGCACAAAATGGTGGCATCGTTCACTTACATGAAGCCAGAGTAGTGCTTGCTCCTGCACTGTGGAAGGGTAACCCGTAAACCGGCAGCTAATAAAGCCAAACATCTCTTCCATTGAAAACGGCAGAGGACACAGCTCTATGTCAAACATTTTGCTGGAAAGCAGAGCAACAGAACTAAGTGACCAATGGGCACACACCAAAGACTACTGGTGCCACGGAAGTATTCCAAACTACAACCTTGGAGAGCTAAAGCCTTTAGATTAGTTACCTTGTGTTCTCATTAGACATTCACATGTTTCGCTACTTTAAGAGGAGAGTTTCCATAATTAAATAGAAACAATCCTGTGGTTGTGATAACATTATATTAGCATTCGTCTCCATATGGGACTTAATAGAAGAAACTAGCCCACTATCTAAAGTCATTTCCCTTTATACTTTCCCAACATATCCTAGCAACCATATCTGAAAATAAACAAAGGGAATGATTTACATTTACTGCTCCATGAGAACAAGTCTTTTTCTGAATAAGTTCAAACCATCTTAGCTCAGCTTGGCAGCATTTGATCGGAGTATCTCACATCACTCCACAGGATGGTAAAGACTGTTTAAGATGATTAACAGAGAGCCCTGCACACTGTACGTGCTCTGTGAGGTCAGATAGTGCTATGAGTAGTGACTTCATTAAACTACTTACCCACCTTAATACTTCCCTGAATTCCTTTAACTGGGTATCAGGGACTTCTGTTCGGATGGCTTCCAGCCATTCTGGCATGATGCACTCCCACACAGACTGGCTGATCACGTTGTAAGGGATCAGGCAGAGAATCCTGTTGAGACCTTCCTTTAACTGAGTCACTGTACTGCAAGACTTATCCCAGTATCCGCCAACCTGACAAAGGCAAAAGAACAAGACATGCTCCTTACAATTACAGTCAAGGACTTCTTAGAAGGGAATAGGCCTATTACGAGTCACAGGTCAAGGATCTTCGGAGTGAGATCTGTGAGAATCCTCAAGTCACCATTAAGATCCATCAGTGAATACAAAAGTGTCTCTGCAGGAAGACATTAAGTCCTTCGGGGAAATGCCCAGCGGTGGTACAGCTGTGTCATATGGTAATTCTATTTCTAGTTCTTCATAAACCTCAAGACAGATTGCTAAAGATGCCGCATTAAGTTCCACTCCCACCAACAACGCATGAGGGTTCCCTTTCCCCACATCCATGTCAGCATTTGTTGCCACTTATATCCCTGACAATGGCCATTTTGACTGGTGTGAGACTGGATTTTTTTAAAGACAAGGTTTCTCTGTGTAGCCCTGGCTGCCCTGGAACTCACTCTGGACACCAGGCTGGCCTCAAACTCACAGAGATTTGCCTGCCTCTGCCTCCCAGCTGCTGGGATTAAAGATGTTATGCTACCACTGCCCAGGAAGACTGAATCTAAAAAGGCTTCAATCTGCATTTCCATAATGACTGAGGATGTTGAACACTTTTAAAAAAGTGTTTACTGGTCATTTGTGTTTCTTCTTTGGAGGACCTCATGCTAAACTTCATAACAAAAAGAGAACACAGTTACAGGTAGGTACAGATATTAATCACAAACTGAGTTTGAACTATTCTGCTATGGACTTCCAAAGTCCATGTGAGTTGTAATTCCAAAGTTCCTACTGTGCTGAATAACAGCGAAAAATCCCTTTTTAAAGTTGTATCAGCATGCAAGTTGCTCCTGTTCGCAGAGACACAGGACTGCAGTTTTCCTTTATGGATAACACAAGACTATTTCTCTCTGCTCTTCATATTCTGACATATTTTTTAAGAAAGTCAAGGTCTAGCTGGGTGTGGTGAGACACTACTTTATTCCCAGTATTCAGGATGCAGAGACAGGGAGATCTCTGAGTTTGAGGCCAGCACAGAACAAATTCCAGGACAGCCAGGGCTACACAGAGAAAGCCTGTCTTGAGAAAATGAAGTTACAGAGGACATACAGGGCACATGTGGCTTTTCATGTGGATTCCAGTGCTTTGAACTCAGGTCTTCATGTTTGCCTGGCAAGCACTCTACCACTATGCCATCTCCACTGTCTGTTTCTAAATTTTCTCTCACCCTCCTGGCCCAGTATCAACTAAATTCAGTTGTCCAGGTAAAGGTACTACTGCTAGGCACAAGGCTAAGCTCCACTTCTCAGATCAGCATGGTAAAAGGAGAGAATTGACTACAACAGGTGTCCTCTGACTTACACACACACACACACACACACGCACACGCACACACACACGCACGCACACGCACAAATTTGAGCGCGCCTTTGCATGTACACCCCTCTGCCCACCACACAATAAATGAATAAAGGCTTTTTGTTGTTGTTTTTTTTAAGTACTGAGTAGTCTTGCCCCAAGGCCTGCAAGCTGAAGCTGGATGACTCAAAAGGTTTATCCACAACAGTTCAAGTCCCTAGGGAAATGCACCAAATACCCACAACTTTCATGTTGCTTTTGGGAAACAAGGTCCCTGTGATGCTAACATTCTCACTTTGCTACTGTCTAGAAACCTTCATTCCTGGCTTCTCACCCTCAGAAACAAGATCTGTGAGCTATCCAACCACAGATCTCTGCTTATGGATTTGCTTCCTCGGGCTAAATCTATTCTCTGACCCCCTTTGTGGGCTCCTAATCGTGTAATCGTTCTGACTAGAGCTCTCTGCACACAGTCTGCCTGGCATCTTTGTTACAGGTAAAATTTCAAGGCAGGTCACAGAGAAAGAGGTATGGGAGACACACAAATTCCAAATTGCTAAAGAGACTGTGTTAAAGTGAAAGCCTTTGAGCTAAAGAAGGAAAAAGAAGGAAAAGAGGGTTTTAAAAATGCATGCCCATTTGCCTGTTCCAAAGAGCATGTCCTGAGAATTCAACTTTACCCCCTCCAAAGAGCATGTCCTGAGAATTCAGCCTTACCCCCTCCAAAGAGCGTGTCCTGAGAATTCAGCCACCCCAAGGAAAGTCACTTCTTGCACTTAGCTTCAAAAAGGCAAAGCCATGTGGAGTTTAGTATGGAAATCTTAAATCTCTAACAGTTTAGGGAATAAATCCATCATCCCTCATTATTCTCGTCCATGAGCCTTCTCTTCTAATTAATTCATTACTGGTCCCCTTGTAGAACCCACTTTGTAGAGTAACTTCTTATCTCCCAGAATCACATCAAACCAGCCTTCTATAAGAGAAATAGCAGCAGCACACCAACAACAAGAATTCCCACAATTGTCCACACATCAAAACTCAATTTTACAAATGAGTCAGTAGGTGGCACCAAAGATGGGAGGAGTATATCATATCTCCATAACTTCTCAGCCATCTGGATCCTGGAGTCAAAGCTATTCCCGCAGATGGTCTGTATTCTGATTTATCCTCAACTGTCTCATTTCAGCCCAGCTTTAAACTGAAGATGATCTCAAGGTCTTTTTGAAAGAAAACAAAATATTAAAAATAAAACCAGAAAATACTTTGAAAAAAAATCACGGATTGCTGCCAAAAACTGAGTCTGGGCCTCCACCTTTCTGGGCTAAGCACAAATTAATATTATAATAAAGCAATGTGGGGGGTCTTCCCCAGATGAGCATCTGTAACTAGTGATCCACTGAGGTAGCAGGAGAAGAGACATAGAGAAACCTGTCCTCCAATGCAGGGAGCAGGGATTCTGTAGTTCTAGGAAACATTTTGACGTTTTAAACACCACGGAGTCTGTTACCCGAGTCTTAGATGAGAAACTGATTTGGGACAGTTGGACTGGAGGGATTCCCAAATAATACACGCATCCCAGAAATCAAAGCAATGATTGAAGACCGGAAAGGAATACAATATCCAGGATGACCACCTTGGGAAGACAAAGAGGGAGAAGTCTGTCTTCCAGAATACTGGCAAACTCAGAAGTGATGTGAGGGAGAAGGAAGTGAAGTCTACACAGTGGGGCAGTCTCAGTGAACTGTGGTCTGGTTGGCCGTTATCTCAGTTCTGCTCATACAGTGTTATTCCTGTTGAGAAATTTGCCCCAAAAGAGAGGGATGGAGGGAGGCAATCAGGGCAGTTTCCATTAGCTCCCAGATCATGTGTCTAACAGACCTGTGATGCTGGGAGGGGGGTGATCCGTTTCCTGCGCGATGCCTGTCCTGATTGAGGGGTGGCAGTCTCTCCTCACAGGGTGATGTGCAAAGCTCAGCTGTTCCAGGAAGGTGTGCAATAATTACTCAAGTCTTCAAGGAGTCACCAAAGAGGTCTGAAAACAGGGCCTACTTGTTGAAAATACCTTTGGGCTACTTTTGTCTTGTTTTTTTACACCCTTGCAGAGGCCTAAATAATTATTACAGCCCACCTATAGGCACAGTTGAGCAAGTAGGTATGTGACCTAAAGAAGACGTGTAAAAAAATGAAGCTAGAGATGAAATACCATGCTGCTTTGCCTGCTTTTAGTGACCCATCAGGCATGTACAAGCCCAAGTGACAATCCATTGCTTTTAGTAAAAAATCATCTCAGAGTTATTGTCATTCTGCCATAACCTAGAAGTACACATGACACTGCAGAAAATCTCCTCTTGGGCTGTAAGCCAGGAAAGAACTGAGCCCCCAAGCCCCATAGAAACCATTGCTATTATTTCTTTTTTATATAAAAACAAACAACACCAAAATGAACATATAAGTTATTAGAGACACCTCAATATTCCATCATGCCATTCTTCCCCATTCTGAACCAATGCCAAAATGACACATTACTAAAGATGTATAATAGCCACCTTGTTGGTTGTTTGTGTGGATTTGGTTTGGATTTTTGAGACAAAGTATCACATTGTAGCCTGACTAGACTACACGGTACTCACGGACTCACGGTGTAGCCCAAAACACCATGGCCTCCACCAATCCTCCTGCCTCAGCCTCCTAAGTTCTGGGATTCCAAGTGAATGCCATCACACCCAGGTAAGCTAACTGTCTTTGGCTGTTGACACAGAGGGAGGGTCAAAGATGGCATTTCCCCCCTCAACCCCCCCCACAGCAAGGTTCAGATGGATGACCTCTACTTACCCTGGCAAATTCCATGGGTTTGGGAAGAAGGCACATGACCATGACATCAAAGCGGACATCACATACTGTCTTCAACCACTTGGTAACAAACTGAGGCTTTAGTTTTTCCACTAAGCTTCCAACTTCATCATCCATCATGTACGCCGTGGAATGAAACCACTGAAATACCATGGCCACCAGCCGGGCCAGGCTCTCCGTGGGCGTATTCTCACTGGGGGTGCAGAGGCTCACCTGGGGTAGGCAGAACACACCTCAGTCAGGCTCCACCCATCCAGCTTTACAAAATTATTACAAGTGTATTTAAAGAAAAAAAGGAGGATGGGGTCCAGACAATTCAATATCAGAATGTTACAAATGATTATCACCTAGTCCAGAACCTGAGTCCTTTCTAAAGGCATGCATGGATTGCCATGGTAACATACCCTAAGCATCCAATAAGCATTGCTTTTCCTAGTGTAACTCTATTATGTAACCTGAACTAGAAAAAAGTTGCAAAAGATTAAGCCCATGAAATGGTATTTCACTAATATCGTCAGTGAAAAAAATATCCATAAATATTTCAATTCTCAAAAGATCAGATGCAGGTAACAGTTTTTTATCGGTAGTAATTCTGAAACCCGAGGGCTCCTCTCAATTTACAATATTATAAGTCATTTTTTAAAACATCTCCATTAGAAACAATATTTTATTGAGAACTTGGCAGGGTCCAAGAATACAAAATTAATTAATTAGTTAATTAAAGCATTATTCCTGCCTTTTAAGAGTTTTCAACAAAAGACGCCACTGTGTCCCTATATAAGTCCTTGGAAGCAAAACACGTAGAATCAACAATTAATTCCCAATTTGGTAGTCTCTTTTGCTTTTTCAGAACTGTGCAAGCATAGAGGACAGCGATCACCATGGAGGTGTAATCCTTGACTCCAGCAGACGAGGGGGAAAAAACCTGCGTCTCTACAGAATGGGTTCGTTCAGCTGGGTCTTCCCATGTTTGGGCTCCACCAAATGAGTGGTATGGCCAACTCAAATGTAACCACTTACTCCACAGCATAATTCTTCCAGTATACAAAGGACCCCCCTTAAATATATGAAAACTTCCTTATAGACGTAAATGATGGGATACAAATGATCTGTGACTTATATTGAATCCATACTCGACAGCCTGCACTAGCGACTCTCCCCTTGTGTCTGTCTCATGAGGGAGGTGCACTTCAGTAGGGCAAGGCTTGGCATTGTGGGCCTCTCTGCCTACTTGTCTGTTAAAGACAGATTCAGTGAGCACTGTCGCTCATAAAACTAAAATACTGATTCACTCTGAAAGCTTTAAAGATGTTATGCATCCTGAAGTATCACATGTTCAGCCAAAATTTAATTGTTTACGTAAAAACTAACAGGAGTATCCATCTTATTATTGTGCAGTTTCTTTCATCTTTAAAAAAATGATAAAATTATATGAGTACCACGAATCAGTTATAAAATAAATGTCTTTATAATGAAAAAGAGAATGATGAATCTGGGCATGGGGACCTTCTAAAAGCATTCTTGGGTAAACCTAACAGAGCTGAGAATGTCTACCGCCCCCCACCCACCCCATCAAAGGTTAGTTCTTCACTCTTGTATCCTTTCAAAAGAAAAGGAGGCATTTGAAAGCAGAGTGGCTGGTGTCTTTTTCTTACTAGGAACCATATTCCGAATTGACTAAGCAGCCTCTGGTCATGCTTATCGTCGTCCTTGTTATCAAAGTCAGCGTTGTCCAGGGAGTGATGGGAGGAGGACAGGCCCAACTGCCGCCGGCGGTTCAACTCGTGTTCCCTCTGCTCTGCGTGGAACTCTGCCTCTTTCAACAAACTGCCCAAGAAGGTGAGTTCCAGTAAGACAATGAAAAGCACACCCCACATCGCAGCCGATCCGGAGCAATTGCCGCATGAGCACCCCAGCATTGTGATCACCTAAGTATATATCATTTACCCAGAAACCCTAGCTTCATTTGCTTACTACTTTATATTCCCTATCCCAAAGATAAGCCAAGACACCCCTTCTTCCGACTGATCACATGGACATTCTGCCTCTTCCTCCGGCTCCCCAGCCACCCATACAAAGAGACTGGTCATTTGCACCCAGATGGAAGACAAGTCAGCAGCTGGTGTTCTCAGCTCTGGAAGTGAGGCGGTAGCTCCTCCCTGAGCTTGGTAAGCAAGCAGCAGACAAAAGGTAGCGAGAGCTAATGTCGGCAAGGGGTCAGCAAAAACAAGTGATTTCATGCACACTGTTGGTTGTAAACTCCCACTCATGCTTTCAAAAGCAATTTGGTAACATATTATGAAAACATCTAAACCTCTGACCAGCTAACCCACATCTGAGACTATAAGGAAGAGTCTGTACACAAAATATCGAAGAGTTGTTTATGAAATATAAAAAAATGAAAGGCATTTAAATATATGATGGCAGAGAAAAACGAATTGTAACTGTGTGTGTGTGTGTGTGTGTGTTATGGTACGTGGTGTGTGGGGTATACATTGAGTTGGGGATATGGGTATGCACACCTGTGTGCAACTAAAAAGGCCAGAGGAGGACACCGGGTGTCTTCCTCCATTGCTCTCTCCTTTTTTCTATGTAGAGGGTGTCCTGCTGAACTGGAAGCTCACCATGCTTAGGCTGACAGGCCAGCACACCTTCCGGATCTGCCTGTCTGCTTCCCAAGGCCGCAGTTACAGGCACAAGTGGCCATCCATGCCCAGCCTTTTACATGGTTGCTGGGATTCAAGCTCAGGTCCTCCTGCCTGCATAGAAAATGCCCTTACTCACTGAGCTGTCTTCCCAGCCCACTCTGTGGATTTTATGTATGAACCATAAAGTGATAAATATAAAACTTCAGCACAACATGGAAAGAGCAGACTGAATGTTGACTCAAAAAAAAAAAAGAACAAAACAAAAACCATGGGTTCACTGTAATCACAATCATATAAACAAAACATGCATTGAAAGCAATAGGTAGTGTACAAAAATATCATTTTGATATTTGTTTTCTGTATTTAGTAATCATCACAATTCTATTATGTGTTTGTCGTTGGTATAACAATATAGAAAAGATACAGTCTCCTTAAAAACAGGTATTTAGTGTTACTTAATCTTTAGTAAACTTGTGATTTGGGATAGTATCTGAAAAGAGAGCCGATCTGGATGTTGTGCTGTGGAAGGCTGCTTTATCTGTCACCTAACAGAGTCCTTTAGCAGCCTAGAAGGGGGCAGGTAGCCGGGGTCATCTGAATCCCTCAGCGTGGAAGTCCACCTCAGCCCGTCGCCACCAGGCTCTCCTGCACCGTATTACCAGCATGCAGGAAGAGTGGTGCATCTGGGCTCTGCAGCCCTCCCGCAGGCTAATACCGCCATGGCTCAAACCATCACTTTGATGGGAGCCTCCATTTCACCGCCCCAACGCCTCTGCTCACTGCTGCCCGGCACTCACCAGGCCTACCACAATTATACATTTCCATTTCTCTAGTTCCTGCTTAGGTAACTGAAGGGCACTTGTGTCTCCCAAGCACCTATCACAAGGCCTTGCATGTAATTGTCATTCAATCAAAATGTTTATTGAATTCATAAATGTTATTAGAACGTCATCATGGCAAGACAGCAGAGAGCATGAGAAGCCCGGTGAATTTGCTCATCTCAGCGTCTTCAGGGGAACCCAAGGTTACCTGATCACGGCCTCCACTGCACAGACCAGCTCCTCCGCCCCGCACTCCCGTGTGTTGATGGGGGGTGGGGAGGTCTGGTAGAGGTGCGTCTCTGAGGTGGCCCCCACCTCATTACTGTGGTGGTTGGAGTGGCATCTTTTGCAGTACCGAACAGGCCTGTTTCCGTGACGACCGCAGCACCCTGCGGAAAAGCAGGTGACGACTGCCCTTCTGACATGGGAGCTGCAGTTCTGGAAGCAGAGAGAGGGGAGCCAATTAAAGGCGGCTTCTGAGACAAACTCGGATGAAAACCTGGAGCAAATGGAACCTCACAGGGCCACCAGAAGTGACCGAGTTTCCAGAACGGAGGGTATTGTCTAGCTACTCAGAGATGCTCTATTCTAGTGGGAAGGGTAGATATGGTCTAGAAAGCAATGGAACTGAGTTAGGAAGCTGGATTATTTTAATTTAGTGCTTAAGATTTTCCAACAAAAATTAAAACTAAATACCTAGAACTATGACACAAAGAAAGCACACCACAGCACCCCAGAATCAGCAAGGAAGAATTTTAAAAATCCATTTATCTACCACTCACAGAATAGATTTCCCCTGCAGTTCATCTGTCCTTGGCATTCAAGGACGACGGAGGAAGCTTATGCTACACTGGTCTGACAGCCGCGCCGCAGGGCCCTCTCCATGCCACCACTGAAGACAATGCATACATCACACCCACCACAGGGAAACACCAAAGGCACTGCTAGACCTAGTCCCAGAACTGGCCACTGGCACCAACCTCAGCAGGGGTATCAACAGGAAGGGATGGCAATGAGACAAGCCACACAGCAGGAAAGAGATGCCTTTGTGTGGGGCGGGTTAGGGGTACCCTCAGCATTGCCCTGGCAAGAGGCAGGGGAGTGAGGCGGCACCTACAGGAAGCCATCTGGAGAGCTATGGGGGAGCAGGAAGCACCCTGACATCAACACCATCATTAGACAAAGTCCACATGCTTGACCGATACCAACATCTCAAGGGCAAACGATATCCTGGGCTTTACCAACCCCGAGTTTGTGAGGAGTGGGACGCACTCCTGACAGAAATCCCAGGGGGTCAGGAGGAAGGCTGCAAGCACAAATCCTCCATCAACACACCAGGGGCGCGACGCCCGCCCGTCAGTAGGAATGGTCATTTCACTCTTCAAGAACAAGACTACTGACTTGGGACACTAGTGTTAGAAAAATCTCATTTTTGTAAAAACTCAGGCCAACAAACAATCAAAGCCAGACACGGACGTTTAAGTCTTTATACTTGACACAGTTACAGTTTTTCCAACAGACAAGAGCCATATGTTAATTGTCGCCAAGTTTAAAATGTTTACAATACGTTCTTATTGATTTTTTAAAAAGCTATTGAGATGTCTTATGACTCTTCTATTAAAAATCCTGGTGGTTTTCCTCTTTTTTGGCATCAGAGTCAGCACTGGTTTTTTTTCTGTTTATCAGTACTATAGAGCACTGTCCTCGGAGGATAACAGTCCTCACCCTCCTCAGAGCAGCTGTGACTCTCTGAATGAGCGCCTCAAAATCAGGCCTGCTGACTGTTGACCTCCTCTGACGGAAGGGGGGGGTCACCAGACCCTTGTCCGAGAGTCTAGCCACCCCCTCCTGCACTTTCAGCCAACTACAGGCAATTCTGCCTTAGCTGCAGGGGGCCTTATGGTCTCAGAAAATGCGAGTACAGAGGGTGTGGAGTGCTAACTGAAGAGGGACTCCATCTACAGGAGAGTCGCCACCCACTTTCTGGTGGCGCTGCTGCTTTGGAGTCACTCATGCTCCTTTAAGTGACCTCTCTCCCATATCTATAGACAAGTCTTTGGAGTCTGATGGACTAGTACTTTGGCGTTTTGTGGGTGCCCTGTCTGGGTGGGGGAAGAGAAGACATTTAGGTTGCCCTGGGAGATGTTCACTCAGTGATCTTTCTCTTTCGGACACTGAGTTTCACTCTGTAAGCATATGAGTGTTCTTATTAGTTTAGGGTCCCCCCCCACCCCGCCCCTCACCCATCAACCGACATTACTCTCAGCAGGAACTATGTCTCATCATACATTCTAGGTGGCCTTTCTCCCCTTGTAGCTGCTGCTATGACCTGAATATTTTTTCCAAACCCCACTCCCAAGCTCCCCATGTTGAAATCTTAACCTCCACATGATAGTATTAGGAAGTAGAGTCTATGGGAGGTGGGTAAGTCACAGGGACAGAGCACTCAAAAAAAGGAATTAGTAGTGTCTCTATAGAAGAGGCCCAGAGAACTCGAGCTAGGAAAACATGACATAGGAATATGCCACGTTTGAGGAGCAGACATCAAATTTACCAGTGTTCTGACCTTGAACTTCCCAATAAACACTTGTTTGCAAATATCCAATCCATGACATTTCATAGCAGCCCAAGGGGCCAAGAAAATTATAATTAGCTTTATGTTCCTTTGAGGTTTTCACTGTTACATAAGTAACATGCTGTGGACATGATATCATCATTAGCCATAATACAGTCCTGGAGTTTAAGGTCAGGTATTTCTCCACCCTACTTCCAACTACCCAGATACTCTCTAGATCCTAGCATCATTTTTACATTTTCTGACTTTTTGCTGTAGATTTCGTGGTCCACCATGTAGCTCCATACTAGGGAGGTTCAAGGCCATGGCAGAGGCAATCACTGGGCTCTGATGAGGACCTCTTAACAGATGGTCTCAAAACGGCAGAAGTGCCTGAGCCGGTGGGGAGATTACATGGGAAGCCAGACACCAAGAGGGGTCGAATTTTGTCTTCTGTAACAACCCATTCCATGGGAACTCACTAGGGCTCTCTGAGACCCATGAAAAGCTATGCAATCTGTTATAAAGGCTTAGTGCCAGGTGACCTCCCCCTAATCTCCAAGGAACCCCCAAAATCACTGTGACCATTTTCCCAGCATCACGGATCATCTCTGTCACATGCTGTTTGAGTCCTCGCCCAGGGAATCAGGTCTATTACTAATGCCCCTACCTGCTACTGATGTGGAGTTACTCCAAGTTTGGAAGAGAATTGAGTACCTGGCAATGTGCTGCTGCCATAATAAACAGTCCACACTGCGTGGCTGGTGTTTTAGACAGTCCACACTGAGTAGCTGGTGTTTTAGACAGCTCACACTGATTGGCTGCCATGATAGACAGTCCACATTGAGTGGCTAACTTTGTAACTCACAAAACTGGAAAGTTTTGAAGACATGGTTAGTGGAAGTCAGATGGGCCTCAGGCAGGGCTTAAAGAAAATGGAGAATTTTTCTCATGCTAGAGAAAGGGACACAGCAGTAAAATGTTTGGCTATGATGTTGCCCTGGTTGTGGCAAGCAGGAAAGGTAGACAAGGGAACTCAGGGTCTACTAAAGACTTTTCATGTGGGGTTACAGGTAACACCTACAACTAGAGTTTAAAGAGAAAATATTAAACCCAGGACATTCTTCCCAGTCTGTGGTTTAAGATTCTCAAGGTAAGAAAAGATGCCTGGGTAAACACTAGATCCAGGGTCCCACCAGGAAAATGTCTTCTCAGGGGGGAAAAATGACAGGGCTAGATATAAAGCCATTTGTTAAGACTCAGAATGAGCAGGGTGGTGGTAACACATGCCTTCAATCCTAGCACTTGGGAGGCAGAGGCAAACAGATCTCTGAGGCCAGCCTTGTCTACATAGTGAGTTCTAGGACAGTCAGGGCTACACAGAGAAACAATGTCTCAAAAAAGAAAACAAAAAGACTCAAAATGTGGTGTGTCACATCATAGTCTCTTTAAGCAGACAAAGACCTGAAGATTTTAAGGGCACTCCACTAGCCTTGCTACTAAATAATAGAGTGCTGAGACTGCGAGGCTTTAGTCTCAGAAGCCTCAAGGAGAGTTCAAGGTATAGCAGGGCTTATCTCACAGAGATGCACCCTTAACTTGTGTTTAATGAAAGAGGTTTATAATGAGCACATAAAAGCACACAGTGTTTCTTGTGGGTTTTGTCAGGGTGGACTGAGAAGGATAGGGACAGCCTGAGGTGAATATGCTTTCAGCCTTGCAGGATTCTGAGGTCAAAGAGTGAACTGCTAAATCTGCTTATCCTAGACAATTTTATGTCAACTGGACACCTGGAAGGAGGGAGCCTCAGTTGAGAGAATGCTTCCATAGGATCAGGCATTTTCTTAATTACTGGTTGATGTGGAGAACTCAGTCCATTGTGGGTGGAGTCATCCCTGGACTGGTGGTTCTGGGTTCTGTAAGAAAGCAGACTGAGCAAGCCATGAGGAGAAGTCAGTATGCAGCACCCCTCCATGGTCTCTGCACCAGTTCCTGCCTCCAGGTTACTGCTGTTTGAGTTCCTGACCTGGCTTCCTTGGATGATGAATAGGAATTTGGAAATGTAAGCCACCCTTTCCTCTCCAACTTGCTTTTGCCCGTGGTGTTTCATCATAAAAATAGTAGCCCTAACTAAGACAAGTTGGTACCAGGGTTGTGGGGTATGGAATACAGACTTGTGAAGTATTAGAGGGAAGTTTAAAGACTCTATTGGGGTCATTTGTTATTGTGAATTAATAATCTGTGGTTCTGGTTAACCGGGGCTGAAGAATCAGTGGTTATTAACAGGACACAGAACTACTAAAGTGAAGCCTTTGCTTTGCTGGGATACTAGATGCCGGCTGGCCATAGCTGAGAAATTGTCAGTGGTTAATGAGAGACCAGAATTGTTGAGGTGAAATCTTCTGGGAAGTGCTTCCTAAGAGTCAGCACACAGAAGCTGTGATCCAAGCCAGAGGTGGCCAAGATTGGACTGAGTGCTGGCAGTCAAACTTGATAGTGTAAGAGTCACTTAGATGGTACTGGTTTTGAAGACATGAGTCGGGTCATGGAGAGCAGCTGAGGCTTGGCACTGTGATGGAGGGGGGCCTTATATTTTGGAAATCTATTCCACCTGCCACAAGTTCAGGAGAACCCAGAATTTCTATTGTCTTTTAGATGTCAGCTAATAGCTGCAGGAAGTCCTTGCCTAGGTGGAGAATGGCTCCTATCCAAATAACAATAGACTTGGAGCTGGGCAAATCTACAAACCCCTGAAGGCTAGTGAGACTTGCTGGGGGTAAAGGTGCCTGAAGGCTTGAGTAAGAGCAGCAAAAGAGTGTCTTTAGGAGTAAGGGAAATAACTGCTATCAGCCCTTTATACATGATAACAGATGTCTTCTGCCATGTCCCCACCTTTGGATGGTTAAGATGATGCAGCAATAAACCAGGGGCTTTTCAGTATTAACTGGACTGCCCTCCTGTGATGCTCAGATGTCGCTGTCTTCTCTTTAATGCCATTGGATAACTAGCTTTCCCTCATCCACACCCCCCCACTCAGGTTCCGATTTCAGCCCCAGAGATATCAGTCCATGGCAAATGGCCCCCGCAATGTGAAGATGGTCCCTGGCACTGCGATAGGCCAGAAGAGGCCATTGGTGAAGATGCAGCCTCAGTCAGTGGCAGTTGAAGGCCCAGAGTTGAAGGAGTCATACAGAGAAGTTGAGGCTTGACACCATGTAGACAGCCTAAGGGAGGCTATTAGTGAAAGTACAGCACTGCTGCATCAGACAAGCCCAGTTTTTAGAAGATGCCAGAACCATGGGATGAGTACCAAGAATAGCGGCACCCATGGAATGGAGCCTGCCCAAGCTTAGAAGTCAGGCTGGGTGTGCTGCAGAGGGCAGAGCCAGACAAGTGACCCAAGCCCTTTGGATGATCCCAGAAGATCATGAGTGCATCCCAGATATTGGACATTGCATTATTTATACCAATTTGATTTTGGTTTGGCTTTAATCTGGATATGACTGTGCCCTGAATCTTGCCTCTTGAAATAAGAAAGTATCTAACTTATTTTTTATTTTACTGAAGCCCACAGCTGAGAGTGAATTTTTAAGGAGATTTGGGGGTTGTAAAAGAGACTTTGGAGTTTTAAAAGAGGCTGAATTTAAAGTGTTTTAGTTTATAAAGACTGTGGAATTTTTAAAGTTTGCAAAATGTTTTATGTTGTGATGTTGATGCTAATTTGTGATCTTGGGGATGAACAAGAAAGGAAAGGTTGTATCTTAATAGTGGTATGTTTGTGTGTCAAACTGACAAGGAGTCACTTGCTGTGGCTGATTTTCTGTCAACTTGACACAACTGAAGTCATCTGGAAGGAGGGAATCTCAATTGAGAAAATGACTCCTTAAGATCAGGCTGTAGGGCATTTTCCTTATTAGTGATTGATACGAGAGGGCTCAGTCCATGCTGGGTGGTGCCATCCCCGGGCTGGTGGTCCTGGGTTCTATAAGAAAGCAGGCTTGGCAAGCCATTTGGAGTAAGTCAGTAAGCAGCTCCCCTCCAAGACCTCTGAGTCAGCTCCTGCGTCCAGGTTCCTGCCCTGTTTGAGTTCCTGACCTGGCTTGTTTGATGATGAACAATGATCTAGAAGTATAAGTCACTCTTTCCTCTTCAGTTTGCTTTTGCTCATGATGTTTCATCATAGCAATAATAGCCCTAACTAAGACTAATCTGCTGCACAGATTTCTATACTTGGTGCTGACCTTCGAGTTACTTTACCCAGTGGCACACAGAAGCACTGATGCTGTGTGACATCTAAGCATCTGTCACAGGGCCCTTGCAACCTCCTTTCTGGCTCTTTCAAAACGTGGCAGAAGCCCAGCACAGCCTCCTGGAGGATGAGACTTCTCATGGAAAAGAGGGAGGCCCTGATACTTCTGTCATCTCAGCCATTCAGCCAACCTAGTTAAGGTCCCATATATGCTCTGTGATGATCAGACCATCTGTTATTAGCCAATCATCATTCTCTACATTTGACACCCTATCACTCCCCCACACCCATCCCACCCACTCCCACCCCTCCATGCCCACCCCACCCCCACCACATACCAACAACAACCTAGTGCAAGTGCAGAAAGGAGCCTAGAGGAGTTCATTAGACAAATTGCCAATCCACAAAATTGCAATCAATTGATAGCAATAACTGATTGTTGCTGGTAACCACTGCAATTCAGGACAGTTTGTTACATATCAATAAATAAGCAAGACAGCCTTCAAAGGTACGCACTGAAGATCAATCTCCCAAAAAGTTTAAGTGAATTGTGAAAAATTCAAATAAACAGAAGAGAATTGAGTAGGCTAAGATCCAGGTTCCCCCACCAACAAATCAAAGCTTTGTCATGGTACCATGCTGCTTCCTGTTAGCTTTTCAACTACTAAAAAAAAAAATAAGAGAAAAATGGAATGGAATGTCCTAAAGAAACAATGTAAAATGGAAAAACAAAGTTTTAGCAGAGGAATATTTACTTAAACATATCATCCAACTTATACCTGAATGAATATTTTCTACATATACTTGGTCTAGGCATATTTTGACATATACTAAACTATATGCATCAAGTTTCAAAACAATAATGATTTTAGCACATAAGAAACACTGTTTCCTAAAGTGTAATCACATGATTTGCTTTGTCATCCACACTTTTCTGTGATTAGACTCTTCCCCAGAACTACACATACGCTTCCATTTGTGAGTCCTAAACGAAGACTGAACACATGACGGTGAGCAAAAGCAGCCGCAGACATGGAGGCCATGTGGACATTACAATCCTACATGCATACAGCACTCCCTCTCCTTCACAAATACAGTGACATGTGCACAGTGGGAAACCATGGTGCAGAAATGAGGCAGATGTCAATGGATGAGCTTACACACAAACACATGGAATCATGCCCCATCACACAGAAGGTATATGCTTACCTTTTTCTGACATATAGCAGATATTTCAGCTGTAAGGGGAAGGTACACAAAATATCAACAAAGAAAGAGAGCCCATTTTAAGTAAGGGCAACCATGAAGAGTAATTTTAAAAAATACAATCTTAGTAATGCAAACTAATGGACTTTATCAAAAAGCTTTGGATTTGCCTCATAATTGTCATCTATATTTATAGGCCTCTATTCCACCCCCCAAAGCACAAAATATCTCTTTCTTGCTCTTCTAATAGTTATAAGGTTTTATTACATTCTGTAACTATGTCTCCTATTCTCACGTCTAATCTAACCTTCTCAAATATGTTAAGGAAATCAGTCAGGTTAGAGCTATACAGCTTTGATCTCAATGGACAGTAGCACTGAAGCCATAAGTGATGAAGCCATGAGAGCAGCTAAGGACTCTAGGCTTCCTGGTTCTTCTCTTGCCATGACACTGATGTGGAGTGATGGGCTGTGCTTACAGCACCTCCCTAAGATGGTCTGAAATGTCAAGACTATAGGAAACACTTATCTTGGTCTCCTCTGACTTGAGCTATCAGTATTAACTAATGCAAAGCAGCCTTGTGGTTACTTATGAAAAATCCCTTGTCAAACATGAGTAGATCCATTGGAGGAAGGCAGTCAAACTGCTGTCTACTAATGAGACTGACTTTAATGAGTGCATAAGGATTCTTTTCAGTTGGCATAGCAAGTGTTCCCATGGAAACTGATATCTTGAGAGTAGCTGAAACCAATTTTTCTGAGAATCTATCACTATTTCCCTTAAAATAGTAAGGCCCCAAGAAATGGACTGATACTTTATTTATAGAATGGTTTCTGTTACACTAACTCAAAGGATTAAAGGAAGGTGTTTCCCGGACCCTGCCTATAAATTCGGAATTAATGGATGCAAAATCAGTAAAATGTGTAAGTTGGTGTTTAAAACTCATTTTATATAACATTTTGATAACCTACTATATGCACTAAATAATCTGATGTGACTATCAAACCTCTGGGTAGATAACCAAAAGCTCTATCAGTTCTTCTCCAAATAAGCATCATCTAAAAACGAGGGTCAAATTCAGAACATGTTTGATATTTAACAGGTATCAGTATCTTAGAAACTGAACATGGACACATGCTCCTATAGAACCAGCTACTCAGGAGACATGAGGCTGCTTGAACCTGGGAGTTTAAGCTCTACCTAGGCTATATAGACTAGTTTGGTTATGAAAACAAAACAAAAGAAAAATAAGCCATCCAGAGTGGGGCATGGTGTATTCAGTACTTGGGAGATAGAGACAGGAAAATCCAGGGTTCGGTGCCAGCCTGAGTGACATCAGTAAGAGCCCATCTAAAAAGAAACCAACAAAATATAGCAGCATGTATTTCTGAATGTAACTATCCAACATCAGCGCACCAGAGGCTCATAAGAAAAGCAGCCAGATTTACACCTCTGTCCACACTACAAGCCCAACTCTTCCTACAGATGAAGTAAATTTTCAAAATGTCCCTGGAAGGCAGTGGGGGCTGATAGCATTACACTGTGTTACAGGTGGCACTCATATTGGTTTCTTTCTTAAAGTTGAGATAACCTAATATTAAAAGTTGAATTTGAAAGAAATAGTGTAATCTAAATTAAAGCAAGAGCTCATAGTCCGTTCTAGCATCGGGTTTCCCATGCATTGCCTCTCCTGCTCATCCCTCCACTATCTGTAGTCACACTCAGTCTGCAGCCACAGTCTGAGTCACGTGCGTGAGCTGGGGTCATCGTGCCTCTGGCTTTCCAACCCATATCTATCGTCAGCATTCTTGCTTTTTGATACAGCCCTGATAGGGAGGCTGGAATACCCACTTCTCTGCATGTGGCGACCTATCAACTCCTAGCAAACTCTAATGGGCTGTGAGGGGCATCACACATCTTGTCATTTTATTACAACGCACCAGATACACTTTATCCCCATCTTACTGATAGGGAGACAAGATCTCAGAGCAATTAAAGGACAATGCCCTCCCACCAAAAAATACAGAGCTAGTAATGGCAGCAGGAAAAAAGGATCATGATTCCCTTTCTAACCTAGCACAACAACACATCATTGGTAGCATCTCTTTTACATGCAGAATATTCCTCAAGACACAACTCAGCAGGGCTTAAATAATGACCCTGGTTGTAATAGCTAACCTTAATTTTTGGTAGAGTTGATAGCTCCTTCCCTTGTTATTAAGTGTTTAGGCAATATTATAAGCAAGACATTGATATAATGCTGCAGGTCAGCGAATATTCCTAAAATATGAGGCTTTGGTTGCTGTCTTTATAAAATAGCACAAAAGGAGATAAATCAACCATGTCATTAGTCATGATTACTCATTATTCATCCTTCCCGAAGAACACCTTACCTTGTGGCAGGAGAACATCAATCAACCACTCACTGTGGTCCCTAGGAAGAAAAATGAAATTGGTTTCTGAGCTTCGCTGGGATGTTCCCCCTGTGCATGCATGTCTGTGAGTTACACACTTCCGATCAAAGCATTTCATAGGAAGTGTGATTAAGCACTATCATGATAAACTTTTAAGGCATCTAATGCATTCCAGTCGATCTATAAATTATAGGCATCTCCTCATTTTCAGTTGTCCTTAAATGATGCTTTCCAGATGTTAGTTACGCCAACCAAAACATGGCCGATATGCACAAAGCTGAGTGACACCAGGAAGGGCAACTAACAAGGACAAAGAGTCTACTGGAGTGATGGCACGCTGGCTTTGGAAACTCCAGTTTTCACCAGCGTCAAGCTTTCTCCTTCTTAGGGGTTTCTTCAAAATCAGAGGCACTCCATTGCCTTCCTGTGTCCTCTAAAGACAGATGTGGCAACTTTTCGAAGCTGAGATTGCCCAAATAACAGCTTGTTGTGTTAAACATCAGACAAACTAATCTCTGAAAACCACAGCAAGGCTGACAGGAAGGTCGAGTAACCAACCCGAGGCCAGCAACTTTCCTTGTTGTCTGGTTTAAGGACTCATACCTACCCTGCAATCCTCTCGCTGCATTCTTCACAGAGATACAGTGGAGGCGGCTTATCACCCAAAGCTACTGACAGGGAAGGGTCTATACACATCTGAAACAAATGACAAGACAGAATCACATTTCTTGCTCCTATGTACCATGTCCTCAACCTATGAGGCCCATACATGGACAATGGCAGATTAAGTACCAGGGTATAATAGACTGTTTTAGTAAACCCCCTTCCTGTGAAACCACTGCTCTGCTGAGGAGCCCACACTGGGGATGCAAATGTGGCTGCCAGGCTTCCCCTGTCTAGCTATTTGCAATTCAAGTACCAAACACTGTCAAGAAATCTTCCCTCCTGCCACAAAGCTGAAAAGTCCCCATTCTCTGGCTGCTCAAGCATGTTTTGTGGGTGACAAACAGTGCAATCTCTCTTTAGGAAAAGGAAAATCCATCATTAAGATTTCCAAATCATTAACTGACATCCAAATGCTGACAATAGAGATGTCCACAGGAAATCTAGCACTGAGGGGTGCCTTTCCTCACTCCCAGACAGCAGCTAAGACTCATACATTCATTGGTCATTCTCACCTTCTCCCCGCCCCCAACCCCCATGCCTTGTTGTCTATGCCCAAGCACAGAGACTCAAGAGTTCATGTTTCAGTGTCAGGGTGTCTGGGTGTCTTAAGACAAGTCAACAGTCAGGTGACTAACTGCTTAAACTTGCCACTAGTTAAAGTTTCTAGTATTTCCAAAAGCCATCCTGCATTGTGTGCCTGTGTTTGGGAATGGTATGCCTATGATTTAGCTAAGTGCCCTGGTAATATGCCTGGTTCACAAACCCTTCTGAAATATCACTGTCTTTAGCTTTTTTTCACTGACTTGAAGGTGGAAAATGATCCACATTTACAACCCTACCTATAATGCAAAGTCCAAAATCTTGAGATGTTTTAATGACGGGATCAATACCAAAATTGCTAGATTTAAGTAATTAAGCCAACAAAGTTCATAAATTGTTTATTAGCTGGTGCTAACAATCTACTGTGAAATATTTCCTATGTAAATTTCATGATTCTTTAGATACAGTGAATAACTATTGTTTGGTCTTCGAGATTAGCCGTTTTCCCACAATGACTGAAGAGTAAGTGTTTCAGGTTTTGTGAGCCATATAGTCTCTGTCACAACCTCTCAACTCTTCATGTAGTGCATAAAAGCAACCACTCTGAAAGCAAATGAACAAAGCTGAATTCCAATAAAACTTTATTGACAGTAACAAGCAGCAGCCACATTGGTGGTGACCGCATTAGCAGCAGTACACAGTTTGCTGACCCTGTCTTACATAATTCTCTGGGCTCCAGCCAATTTCATGAAGTGAACTTTAAATGGAACCAGGAATAATCGGAAGTGGAATGTGACATAAGACTTTAAGTTTGTTTCCACCCCATCCCTGTGGCAACGGTCGGCTCTTACAAATCATTAAAGCCTCATACCTCAGCGACTATAGCAGAGTGGGCTTTGCTGAGGACTCATGTCATTCCTGAGCTTCCTGTGCACCCGTGCAGATCTCCCAAGCACTGCTACTTCACACTATTACCCATTAAGTCATTGAAATGTCTGCTGGACAAAGATAAGTTTTCCATTCCACTCGAAAGGAAAATTCCTGGGATGTTAGAATGTCTGTTATTAGAGGCTGGCTACCTGACTTTTGACCTGTTAGATTACTTAATTAATATGCCTGGTCAGTTCTGTTCTACTAATATGTTTGTATCTGGTTGTTGCATGAAGATAAACAAATGAACAATAACAACAAAATGATGGTTTGTTAGGTTAGGTGCAACATCCTTAATCCCAGAACTCAAGAAGCAGGGGCAGGTAGAACATCTTGGAGTTGAGGCTAGCCTTATCTACATAGTGAGTTCTAAGCCAGGCAGGGCCATATAATGAGACCCTGCCTTAAAAAAATAAAAGATTGTTTGTAATTCATGACCAATGTACATGCTCAGGAAAACAGATGAGGAAAAATTTCAAATGTCTCATGTCAGTGACTTGCCCCATTCGTTCTGTGATGACATTTCTGTGGGTATTACTGGCTCTTTTTCACTTCCCATGTGAACCTTTATCTAAATAAACTGAATCTGTGTCATACCGTGCAATCTCTCAGCTTTCCTTACCAATAAGCATCAGGCTTGGGAGACCCTGCGTCTGTGTATTCTGTGGTAGTGGTACCCATGCAGTGAAGAGTAAACCCCAATGAGCCATGCCTGCTGTAGAGCAAAACATGGCCCCACATGGGAAGCATTGCCCAGATAGCTAGTTTTCTAGAAAGTGAAACACTGGAGATTTAAAAAAAAGAAGATTTGTCAGGGAGCTGTGCACGAAAAATGTCTTCTCAGCAGATCAAGTTGGTGGCTGCAAACGTTTGAATGTACTGGATGCCAACTGTTTACTTTCACATTGTTAGTTTTAAATGTAAACAATTTCTATGTGAATTTCATCTCAATAAAGAAAAAATGCCAAAGGCAGGCTGGTTGTGCCTGGCCTCCAGGACTGGGTTTTTTGGCATAAAAGTAAGGTCAACCCAGATGAATGGGCCAGGCTGTCTGCCCAGAAGAGGAGAAAATCTAATTTCTCCTTTCTGTGATTAGATGGCCAGGAAGGATTGCTAACCAGGACGCCAGAGGACTCCAGAAAATGCAGTCTGGCATAAAAGCAAGGAAAAAATAACTGAAGAAACCTGTATCAGGTAAGAAGAAAAGAAAGATAAAAAAACAGAAGTAAAGGGAGCCATGTGGGTCTCACTGCTACGGAAAGACTTGGAGCCCTACATCCTCTCAACCCCAGAATGGGTGACATGAGAGTACATGCAGCACAAAGTCCAAGCTCCACACTCATCTGCTCTTTTCCCGGAGTCATTCAGTTTCCTGTCATTAAAGGCAAGCATCCAATATCGCAGCACAAGGAGATCCTCATCGCACAGCATACTGTTAGTCCTTGTGTAGTTCTCAGATCCCATTGTGCTTGTCCTTTGTCCCTATACAGTGGCAGTGCTGGTTTTCTATTATTTAGGCACCAACACAGTCTGCCTGGACAAGGGAAACAAACTCTAATAACACCAGTGTCTTCAGCCAGCACCCATGCTTCAGAGTGCGACATTAACCCATGCAAATCCTAACCTGTTCATGCTACCTGTGCGTCCTGCATCCCACGAACACACTATGAGCAATTTTGTTAAGACGTGGGATTACTCCTCTGAATATCCAGTTCCCGAGACTCAGTTTCAATAGGATTGAACAATATGTGTAGAAAAGAATGATGCTGAGAGGATGCCCAGCTCTGTCTCTAGTTTATGCTAACCACCCATTGGCTCCATGGAAACAGCTTCCTTACTTTAGTGTGACCTACTGTGTACCTGCTATCCAAACACCTCTTAGTTAACTATCCACATCCATGCTTTGAGCTAGGACTTAACAACTCGGTCTATTTTTGTCTTGCCATTTTCAAATTTGCAGTCACATAGCAGACCCTCCAAAGTGACAACATATAAGGAAGGGGAGACGGTTCTAAATGTTTTGGCTCAGATAGAAGTCAGCTGAGACGAGGTCTGTGTTCATCAGTATTCTTCTGATAATGAACTATACAACCCTTGGCTGTGAATTCACAGCCCCAACTCACAGACACCAGCACCACTCTTGTCCAAATACAGTCGGGGTTGAACACAGAAGAGCCTGAGATCGACCACAGAGCTCTGCTGTACAGAGCAGACTTACTCTGTTTACTCAACACTTTACTAACTGAACCACCAAGAACCCAACGGTAGCCCAAGCGTGGGAAGCAGTACCTTCACAGCCGGCTTGTTAATTGCATTGTGGCATTCGATGTGTTGGCAGTGGATGGGATTCCAAGCTGCAATACAAAAGAGAGCCAGTGAAGATCTCTCCCTGAGACTGTTTACACCCCCGAAAAAACACACTGAATAGTTCACTAGTTTTCTTTCTCCTAAATGGAAACATCATCAGACGGTGTCCTAACAGAATCAGTCACCTATGAAACAAAGTGAAAATCAGGTAAAGACATGGTGACCCTATCCACCTTCCCCGGGAAAGAAAGCCAGTAGCAGGTGGAGTACACAGGACCGTAAACCTCACGATGTCATAGCACTGATGAGTTTTCAAGGTGCTCCAGATACTTTCACTGCATTCCCTAACAGCTCTGCAGGTAGGTATGGTAGATTATTCAGCCATTATTATCATGTGACTCGATATGGTCACAGACTGGGCAAAGGGAAGCTGAGACTAGAACCTGCAATGGCTAGGTTCCTAACGCTGGTTCATCTCACTACAGAGTGCTGTGCAAAGCATCCTCTGCTTTTAGCACCAGGAGCTTTCCAAACGGAAAATGACGTGATGAGTCGGAAGGGATCCTCCACCATTCTCGTTTCCATTCCTTCTCCTTACATGGAGACTGGAAAAATGAGTGTTGTGCCTGAAACACTGGACCTCAGCTAGTCTGCTGATACCTGTACCCAAGTCCCTAGCTCAGCATGTATAAAGAATGAGGGAAAATACGAACAAATCTGAGATGGACCGGGAAGCACTCATAACCAGTAACTGCCCCTTACACAGTCTAAGGCACTTAGCAGCACCCTGTCATTTAAGCGATGTAAACTGTTTGTATACTTCAAAGTAGGAACCCTTTCTGAACAGCCATATTCTAATCTTATAGGATAACAGGACAATTTAATTTAAAGGGGGACAAGAAGCACTGATTAGAAAACATTGCTCTAATTATAGATTCATATTGACTTGCTTTGAGAGAAAAAGAAATGAGTGAATAAACGAATCATCTGAGTGGGTATTACGTAATCAGATTTCTTTCCAACGTGTCATAAAAGTAAGATGTGAAGAATAGCGGTAAGTTTCCTTCTGCAATGGGAGAAACTTCACAACTAACTTTAAACTGTAACCTGTTGCAAGTATGTGGGACAAATGCCCTGTTTCTCAACTTAACTCATGGAAGACATAACTAATCCATTACAGCATTCTTTCTGCTGAATTCATAATGAATCTTTAATCCTTCTTCCCACTCCAGCCACCACAAGTCAAAGCAGGGTTGGCATGCACAGGGGCATCTGCTGACCCTCCTGGAGCCCATCTACTATGAGAACAAGTCATATTTAAAACATTTCCACTATTATGGCAGAGGCACAAATAGACAGCATATGCAATAGCCATGACACCATTCCAGGGCTCCAATGACTTCTGCTCTGTGTGGGTAAGAGAGATGTAAGGGAGGACCAGTTCCTTTCATTTTTTTTCATCCATTTACCCGTGTCATTGAGTTAAGAACAGGTCCTAGGGTAGTCCACTTCAGTAATTTTTCAACTTTGATGAAATTTATTAGCATAGACCCTAGGAGCTCAGGAAGTTGTCAAGACACAGCAAAGGAAAACACATCAAAATTCATTAATATCATATTGATGGAACACTTTCAAAGCAGCCATTAAAAACAAAAGAAACATTACTTCTAGGAGAATAAAGATAAGAATGATCGCTGACACTTTCTCATAAACTATGCTAACTGGAACTTAAGGAAATCAAGCCAAAACTGGTCTAGAAGTTCCCTGCCTCCTTGCTAACCATCATAGTGCTGAAAGGTGCTATGCAGACTGCTGTCTCACCCAGCCCTAGGCCTTGTGTGCAATACTAACCAGCCAGGTAAGATGCAAGCAGCCTGACCTCTGTTATGAGTGTAGGCAACCACCTCCTGATGGCACTTAAGGCTCACTCCACAGGAGGGAGTTCACATCTGCTACTACAAACACACTCAAGTCTGCAGCTGGGAGAGTGGAGGGAGGGTCCTAAGTGCTAGTGTGGAAGCTATCTTGTTTTGTTAAATGCACATGATGTGCCCATCAAAGTGCCTTCTACGTTTATGTATGTAGGTTAGTGCTGCTATAGCTTTGATTAGAGACGCTTTCATTTGCAATGAACAGAAGTCATTGCAGAGACTCATAGCTGATGTAAGTGACAAAAGGTGACTGTTGAATGCTCAGCTATATATGGGGGAATGGCCCACTTGTGCATGCACGCGCGTGTACACACACATGCTAGGCTCCAAGGAACATCTTGGAAGAGGGGGCAGAAAGAATATAAAAGCTGGAGGAAATGGGAGAGTGGTATGGAATAATGACTTCCAGGTACAACAGGAGTTGAACTCATAACAGCTGTGATTACCTGCTCAGGAAAGATCTGCACAAACCCTATCAACCTCTCACAGAGAAGGAAAGGGACCCACAGGCCTGAGGATTTATACACAGTGAAGAGTTGGCAGTGGAGGAAAAAAGTTTTCTGAGTGGTGGAGCCACTCACACAATGTGAGTGACCTACATGATGGGCACGTTGTATACAAAAGGATCTAAAAGGCAGAGATTGTGAAATGGGATTCTTTCAAAAAAGCATGACTCTATTATAGGTGTATGAGAAACACTCAAAATACATACAAAAATGGTTAAACAGAAAACTATGCCGAGTAAACACTCATGCGTGGAATCTGGAGTCCCCACATAAATGTCAGGCAAGCTGACCCAGAGCAAGAATCATGAGCAGAAAAAACGACGCTATTCCGTACAGAAGAGAGTGCTGAGAGAGTAAGGCACAGAACAACCGTATCTGTCCACTTTAAAATACATCTTAGTTAAAACTCCCCTTCGACTCATGGTATAAGTCATGCAATTAACATTGACAAGAAATGTTAGAAAGTATTCAATACCAAGATATAACAAATTACTGAATTTACATAACAATTTCATGAGATAAATCGGAGCAACATTAAAGGGGGAAATGTATAGCTTTAAATTCTTATGGTAAAAATAAAAAAGGCCTAAAAAACATTTATGTTGTTTCTCTATGAAGTTGGAAAAATACAAAATCAAGTGTAATATTTAAAAAAGGAAGAAAAAGTACACAGACAGAAGTTAATAAACCTAAAAGCAAAAACACAGTACAGAAGATAAATAAAAGCAAAAGCTGGTTCTTTGGGAAAATCAATGAAATTGATAAGCTTCCTAACCAGCCTGGTGAGAATAAAAAATCACGAGACAATATAGGTTACCCACGTCTGAAGTGAAAGGTAGGGTTTCTGCAGACCTTTGACACCAACAAATTCATACATTGGATGAAATGCCCAGAGTTTTCAAAAGACACAATTTTGAAATATGTCCCAATGAATACTATCAATTCCAGTAACTCTACAACTGTCATAGAAATTGAATTCACAACATAAAATCTCCCCGTTGAAACAACAACAACAGCCCGAGTCCAGATGGCTTCAGCTGGAATTCAGGGCTCCCTGGAAGAATAACTGCCATATAGACTCAGAAAAGAGAAGTTCTTGAGACTCTTCTCAGCTCATTTCATGAGGCTGAAATTACTGCCAACAGGGCTACATGACAATTAGAAAACTATAAATGCCCCTCATAAATACAGCTTTAAGAATACTTACCAAAAAACTGGCAATAAAATACAGCATGGCAATACGGAGTTTATCCCAGAAATTCATAGTTGGTTCAAAATGCAAATCAAATCAATGTAATTGACCATATTAGGAGCATAAAAAGAGGAAGTCATATCAGAAAGAGGAATCATTTATCCCAAACTGACCTTCATTCATTAAACAATCTCAGTGAAGAACAGACAGGAATTACCTTAATCTGATGTTCAAGAAAAACATCTGTGGAAAAATCATTGCTGACACCATGTTTAATGGTAAAACCTCAATACTCTCACCCCAAAGCTGGGGAGGTCAAGGGTGTCCACTCTCAGTGTGTCTGTCAAACTCTTGAATGGTCCAAGGTAGTACAGAAAATAGGACAGAAGAAGACAGATGCAAAGAATGAAGAGCAGGGGAGAGACTGAGACAAAGACAGACGATGAAAAGGGAAAAGGAACTGAAAAGCATCCTTATCGGGCCTGAGGAGACGGCTGAGCACCTGCTACTCAAGCACTCAGGGTTCCGATCCACAGAGCTCATGTAAGTAGGGGTGCAGGCAAGGGCCGGCACAGCAGCTGGCCTGTAATTCCAGGCTTGGAAGAGGAGACTGGGGATCCCTAGGAAAGCTATAGCTAATAAGATTAGTTCGCCACATCAGTAAGCTCTGGTTTTGACGTCGAGACCCCGCCTCAGTAAATAATGGAGAAGGACAACTGAGGGAGATGAGAGAAAACCTGGGCCCTCTGAACAAAGGAGCACACACATGCACCCACACACGCGTGAGCACACTACATTATACATTACACATTATACATTACACATTACACATTATACACAGAGACACATGAAAAGAAGCGCCTGCGGGGGGGGGATCTTCATTTTCAGAGCACATAATAATTTTTAGACGAATTCTTAAGAAACTCACAGGTAAGATGGGAAAGCTAGCATGGGACTTTATCAAGACTTCAGGTTTAAAAAAAAGCATTTTAAAATCAAGTCATTTCTACACATTAGCAACAAACAAATAGAATGCTAAGTTTTGGCATTATTTACAGTAGCAACATAAGCTGTAAGATATTGCAAATAATTTTAACAAAATAACTTTAACATCTATATACAAAAACTGAGCAAACATTGCTGAAAGAAAAAAGTTAAATACCTAAATAAGGAAGAGATGATCTGTCTGTTGATTAAAAGACCCAATATTGTAAAAATATCAATCTTCCCAAATGAATCTATCTATTCAATATTTATGAAAAACTCAAGCAGATTGTTTTATAGAAATGACAAGGTCGGTGAAGATTTAAAGGCCATCACATGATTTCAAAATATTGTTTATTGTGTGGGATGTATGCATGTGTACCTTTCATGTGTGTCTACATACATGCACATATATGAGTGTGCATGTGAAAGCA